GGAGCGAGACGCAACATAGAGCACAATACACGATAGTGAAAGAGTGCTCCAACAGAAGATGATAGACGTGACTCGCGTAATGAAACACGACGTAAGAATGAAATATGCTGTACAGTTTTAATATTTTAACACTTAACATTTATCAGTATATATGATAAATATATATTTTAGTTATTTTAGTATGTATTGACAAGGCATGCAATGAACTAGTTTGTCGTGGATTGGATCAGCACCTGAAGATGGCACATCTGTGCCGAAACATGTAGTGAGAGTGAGAAGAGGGGACAGATGAATGTATGCACTAGAAGACGGATAAAATAAATCATGGTCTTTGATAGATGTTATGGTTACAAATAGACAGTTTAATAAGGACTATATAGAAACTGTAAACATGGATTTTTCTGACCATCTGGGCCAGATCTTATGGGTGGACATAGACACATGAAATACAGAGCTAAAAAAGGTACTGCAAAGAAAGTTCTCTAAAGGGAACATAGACAAGTTCACAGTCATGCTAAATAATGAATTATGGGAGGAAATTTACTTGGAAAAAATGTAAATGAACTATATCAGCTATTTATAAATAAGTTTTATATTGTTGCGTGTTGCCTATGAACACCAATAACTTCACGTGGGTCTCGGATTAGCGAATATTTATTGAACGCTCATTTCTACACACTCAAGTACAATTAGTATTGCTTTCACTGCTTCTGCGATTCCACTCAATCGATCCAACTAATTCGGCAAATGCTAGACTTAGGCGGCTACCTTCAAACTCTGTCTTCTGCGGCAGCTATATCTCAACTCTCTACGAAGGCTGGAACTTCACTGTCTTCGACGATGGCTAGAATTCAACTGTCTTTGATGGCGGCTATACTAAGACTGATTCGGTGAACGCATTACCCCCCTTATATATCCACAGCCATTGCTATGCAATGAACCTTCTGTCGTCTTGGAAATGTGATACCTTGTAGAATACCGGTAACGTGTTTGGTTTCACAATGGACCTTCCATGTCCGGGAAAACACGTTTGTTGCTCAAGGCATTCCCAGGCAACGGCCTGTGTGGGATTTCGTTGCCACTGAAATAACACATTACATTGCTCCCTTCTAAAGGTTGTTCATCCCCGAACAGCCTAATAGTTCTTCCTTTCTTTCAGGTGTTCCTTGGTGTTCTGCTGGCAACATCTGCATTTGGTCTTGCCGTTTTTTGCGCGTTCTTTTTGTGGTGTCCATTCTACCGCATCCGCCCCTCCCTTCAGCGGTGCTTGCTCTGAGCACTCCTATGATGCAGAATTTGTTGACTCCGTCATCTCACATTCATTCCTCGCTTTCATTCTCTCCTCATTCATTCTTGCTGGGGAGACCGGTGCTTCTATATTACCGGTTCCTCCCATACGGGCTGTTTCCTTTTTTTTTTTCATTTTGGAGGTGGTTGACACCTCCACATTTTCCAGTCCTTGATCATGTCTTTCTTGAGAAGTTCCTTATGTCGACGTAACAGCACTTGAAGTGTGGTCTGCACTTGCTGACACTGTCGTTCCTCCTGGTCTGCCTGCCACTTGCTGGTATGAGACTGTGCCTCAACATTGCCCACTGCTGGTTTCTCTTCTCTGCTATGGTCACCCCACAATGGTTGAGACTCATCATAAGGCTGCGTGCAGAGACAATATAGACAACTGGTGACAACCAATTCCTTTCTCTGGGATCAGAAAATTCCCTGAGTAATTTCCTTCTTGAAGGCATATCTCCTGTGTCGTGCCATGGCTGCACGACGGGACACCTTCTGGTCGGTTTGTGTTTTCTGTGCCAATTTTGCATGGCGGCTCGTCCCTCTGTGAGCGACAGCCAGTCTTTTTCGGCACCCATCCTGATCCTGAGTCCGTTCATTCACCTGGCGGCAGCGCTCTGCGGCCAGTTTTCGGTCCCTACACCGTTTCTTCTTCGGTTCTCCAACAAGCATTACTTCAGCATCTTCTATGGGGACTTCTTGATGCTCTGAAACTTCAGGTTTCCTGTCCAGTGAGGTCGGCTCTTCCTCTTCTAGATGTGCCTCTGTCATTTCTCGGCAGGCCATTGTCTTCATGTCCTTTGGGGCTTTGATTTCAGCCACCATCTCCTCGTGGCTGGCGTCCATCATTTCTCGCTTGGCGGACAACTCTTCTCGCCATGCTTTCCAATCGGCCATCATTTGTTCATGTCTGGCATTCGCCTTTGCTTGGTTGGACTTCCTATCGGCCATCATTTGTTCTTGGCCACCTAATAAACATTCCATCATCTGTTGTATGTCCATTTCTGTTCGCATGGCGTTAGTCCAATAATTTCTCCTAAATCCGATCTGATTAATCCCACTTCTGACACCAGTTGTTGTGTGTTGTCTATGCAGCATGACCAATAACTTCACGTGGGTCTCGGATTTAGCGAATTTTTATTGAATGCTCACTTCTACACACTGAAGTACAATTAGTATCTCTTTCACTGCTTCTGCTATTCCACTCAATCAATCCAACTAATTCAGCAAATGACAGACTTTGGCAGCTATCTTTCAACTCTGTCTTCCAACTTTGCCTTCTGTGGCGGCTATATCTCAACGCTCTACGAAGGCTGGAACTTCACTGTCCTCAACGATGGCTAGAATTCAACTGTCTTCGATGGTGGCTATACAAAGACTGACTCAGCGAATGCATTAACCCCCTTATAGATCCATGGCCGTTACTATGCAATGAACCTTCTGTGTCTTGGAAATGCGATACCTTGTAGAATACCAGTAACGTGTTTGGTTTCACAACAAACCTTCCATGTCCGAGGAAATGAGTGTGTTGCCCAAGGCATTTCAAGGCAACAGCCTCTCCGTGATTTTGTTGCCGCTGAAATAACACGTGACAATATTATTTTTGAAGATCGTTTCCATTGAAATTAACAATGAAGACAGTAATCTTCATACATACCATTGTCAGAACCTTGAATGTAATGTAGTTATAAGATTACTGAATAATTCTATGTGGAGCACTGTAAATAGCATTCAAGAGAAGAGCTTTCTTGCAGTAAAGCCAGTACCTTCAGTTCACTAATACGGTCCTTTTCAGCAACTGAAGCAATGAGCACTTTTTCTGAGACAGTAGTTGCATTGTCAAGAGGTTGCTGTGCTAGAACCTGAGTTTCTTCTGCAGTGAGTCTGATGACAGCTGCACGCCGACGTCCACGTGGTGACTGTAATGGATTGGTTGCTACCAGCTTCCCCTTCCTCTCCCTTGGTTCATGAAGCTTGATGTGTCTACGTAACAGCTGGTCTGTCCGGAACATTGCATTGCAGATACAGCATTTCAATGGCCTGCAAACAGAGAAATTACATATACAATAGTATAATCAAATACAGTGATTCTCAAATTGTTTTGTTATTGCACATCTAACTTTAATATCAAATTTGATAGCACACGTGGCAGCTCTGACCTTCTTAGAATATTGCATGTACATTATTCAGATCCAGAAGAACTTGCGAGACACAATGTCAGTGACTGATGCTTTTCCCATCTAATCTAATAACTTATCATTATAATTTCACTAAAATATAGATTTTAATATGAATGTGCTAACTTCTATTTTTTTCTCTTTCTTTTAAATAATATAAGACACAGAAAACTGTAAATAAGGAGAATGAAATTAGAAAATTCTCAATTAGGCTTCAATTAAACAAAAGAGAAGCAATTTGTGGATTTTGTGAATACCTAATTGAAAAGATGATTCCAGAAAAATTGAAGCATTTTGCCAAGTGAATGTGAATAAGGATTTTCACAAATTAATTTGACTGTTTGGTCTTCAGCCCAATCAGAGCTTCGCTGATTATAAAAACAACTTCTTCACTTTTTTTCTTAAAATTGTGGGTCCATACTTGTAATACATGCCTTATCTCTGTAGAATACAGAATGTCCAAAATAAAATAATTATATCTCAGAAAGAATTTACTATACACATTTATGGGTTACACCATTACAAAGGGAAACTATCTAAGTTTTTTCTGAGTATATAACTTTCTCAATAATTTCAATGTGGGCTCCCTTGGTGTGGCATGACAAATATCCAGACAATATTCAACCTCGTTCCACATTGCCTGAAGCATGTTTGGTGTTACTGTACCCACAATATCCCTTATGCGGGCTTTCAGATTTTGAAGGTCATTGATCTTAACCTGGTAGACAGTGTTTTTCACATAACCCCAGAAGAAAAAATTCTGTGGGGTTAAATCTGGCAACATAGGAGGCCAAGTGACTGGTCCACCTCTGCCAATCCATCTCCCAGTCATCTCTCTGTCCCGGTGATTCCTAACATGTGCCAAAAATGTAGCGGTGCCCCATCTTGTTGAAGGATAGTTTGAAGTGGTAATTGGGGCAGTACATACAGATCCAGCATGTACAAGTATGAACGTCTCGGTCACAGTATTTTCAGAAAAGAAGAACGTTCCAATCAACTTGTCGTGCAATAAGCTGGCCAACACGTTCACTTTGGGGCTGCCTCTCTCCAACTCTCATATGACATGTGGATTTTTACTGCCCCAAATCCTGCAGTTTTACCTGTTTACAACTCCACTGACATGGAACGTTGCCTTGTCCAAGAAACACACTTCCATATAGGAGGTTCATGTCCATACTGTGTTCTAAAACAATACTGGACAGCTGTATGAGATTGCAACTCTGCTAGCCACAACACACATCGAACCTGTTCCTGTGGTGTTGACGTCATTTCCAATAATATAAACCAGATATGTGTACGTCAATCAGTTTCGAGATATACTTTTTTTATTTTGGATACCTTTCATCCAGACACTCTGTATGTTTATTCATTGCTGCTTTGGAAACATCATTGTGTCACAGACACAAACAGTAAGAATGAAGTGACAATATTGTCTGATGAGAATTTAATAAAAATTTGGAATTTTCTATTAAAACTTTGTTATGAAACAAGTACTCTTTATGTATTTCTTTTAAATGCTTGTATTTGTACAGTAAATTTATGCAGGATAAACAGAGTGTTACTATATCTTATTTGTTGCTTTTATTCCAATAGTGTTAGCACAATACGAAACAAAAGTACTGTCACGTGTAGGATGGTACATGTGATGAAATGACGGGTTCTAGTTCGGATGATTGGATTTATTAGCACCTTGGTTACACACTCTCTTCATTACACTTAAATACAGTGCCATCCCTGATTTACACACTTCATAATTCACTGTTGGAACACTCTGCCCATCCACGTTACAATAACAATATTTCTTTTATTTTTTAATATGAATATAAGGGGTACCTCCAACTTTTCCTGCCAGCAAGGAATGAGTACCTGTATCTTCCCCTCCCCCCACCCCACAAAACACCAGTGTGCATGTGAGTGAAGATTGAAATGTTGTTTTTTTTTTTTGGTGCTACAACCACAATTTAGGCCTTGGCCTACCTCCATGAAACTCTCTGTTTCACTTTTGTTTACTAGATCTTAGACATTTGGTAGGACTCCTTGGGCAGGTGATCAGCTTGTCGCAAAGCCTCTACCTGTACAAAAAGTACAGAAAAACACGCACACGCACACACACACACACACACACACACACACACACAAACAGTAAAGATCCATGCTCCGGGTGGGATTCAAACCCATGATCCCGACTTCTGAGCGAACGAAGACAGTGCATGCCTTAGACCACTTGGGTACCGTGACCGGCATTAGTTGTGTTAGAACATATGAAGGATACTGTGCATCCGTTTCTTTGTTGTATGATTCATTTTATACTGTGCAAAGGTATTTCCCTTACCCTTCCATCAATACAGTGGGCCCTCTGTTAACAGTATTAATTGGTTCCATGAAGGGTTTTAGATAACTGAATTTTCAGGTGTTCTAATTTTCTAAAGGAAGGATATATACCGGGTCCATACCAGTTGTACCAGTAGATACTACAGGGTTCTGACAATGGTGTATAACACCTACTCTGTTGGGTCCCTTAGAAAGAGCTAGCCTCAATAGGTGTCTTCCTTCACATGAGGACAGAAACAGATCCGGTTTCCGAAATGTTGTGTTTTTTTCTTAGTTATTTAGAATCTGGACAATGGACCTGCTGAGTCCACCTAGGGGCGCTCTGACTGGCTGAAATTGGTGGCCATGTGTTGCTGTAAACATACTGTTAATATAAACAATAGGACCCATGGGAAGTGGACTGTTAATTAATAGCACTGTAAACCGAGGAACCACTACAGATATAATTTTTCTTGCAGATTACAGTACCTTTCATTGCTATGAACACTCATGTGACGTTTCAGAGAACCATTTGTTGTGAATCGGCAACCACATATATCACATCCAAAATCTCTATTGCCATCATGTGTTTTCATATGAGCCTAGAAGAAGAAGTTTATATAAACATGACGTAATCAACTATGCGCAAAAATATAATTAAAACCAAGATTGTCACATAAAACTCTAAAACAGGAATAACACCTGACAGAATGTTTTAAAATAAGGTGAGAAAAAGGAGAAAGAAATTTAGCATTAAAAAAATTATTTCTGTCACAACTCTACACAATCATAAATACAACTACACTTTGTGCTGTATATAGTGGCAACATTATGCATTTTATGAGGTCCGACAATTAAGCAATAACACTGACAACATTCTGAAGCATGAGCCATCCTATGGTTGATGGTAAGTGCTGCTATCTACAGATACATGTCAGAACTTTATATGGCAGAAAACTTGTCTTGGTAAGTCCATCACGTGCAGAGCTGTTCTACTTTAACTGAAGTAGTGTTTGGATAGTTCGCTATGAAAATGAATGATAAATATTTTGAACACGGGATCAACATGAAATTATTGTTCAAACTAAGAAAATCCAACCAAAACCTTTGAAATTATAGAGCAAGTTTATGGAGATGAGGTTATATTAAGAACATGTGTTTCTGAACGGTGTCTATGGCTTTCTGAAAGAAACGGTGAAGTTGAGCTCAGAAGCTGACCTGAACATCTGGCAACATGAAAAAATAGATCAAAACATCAGAAAGGTGGGAACACTGATGTGAAAGGATCATCTTACTGTCAGAATGACTGCAGAAAAAGTTAATATCAGTAGAGGCTGTATGGTTGATATTGACAGAATATGTAGAAAGAATGTGTGAAGATGGTGCCCAAGGACATCACTAACAAAATACTGCAGCAGACGAGGGAAGTATTTGCTGATCTTCTGCAAGAAATTGAGAAAATGACGAAGTGCTGAATACAGTCATCAATTGGGATGAAAGCTAGGTCTTTCAGCAAGACTCTGAGACAAAGAGGAAGAGGATGCAACAGAAATCTCCAGGCTCAATCAATCCCAGTAAAGTGCAGATTCCAATATAATAAGAAATGAAAATATTGATTTGTTTTTTACACTACAAAGGAACAGAGTACCAACAATTTGTCCCAGCTGGTCAAACTGTCCACCAGAGAATTTTATTTCCAAGTTTCAGAATGTCTGGGACAGCAGGTTTGTCATATGAAAGCAGACTGTTCCCAACAAGTGGATGATAATGTGCCCTCACCACAGTACTTTCTGTCAAGAAAACTGATCATGGTTCTGGAACATCCTGCTTACTTATCAAATCTTGCTCCATGTGAGTTTTTCACCTTCCCTACCATGATGAATCATCTCAAGGGATCACATTTTGAAACTGTGGAAGAGATTCAGAAGGTTATGATGGCCATTCTAAACAACCTACAGAAGACTGACTTCTGGAAATGCTTCCACAGTTGAAAACAATGTTGCAATTCACGTACAGCTGCAGAAGGGAACTACTCTGATGGAGAGCACTCACTTCAGAAAAGACTTTAATACTGGGCTGCTTGTGAGTAGTCTCATTATTTAACTCTCAGTTGTTATATACCACAGAACCCTTATCAATCAAAATGAAAACAGGCAGTACTTTCTAACATGGAATGCTGAAACACAAAATGGCAGATATGAAATTTCTACCGAGTTGTAAGAAATAGACATGAAGAGATAAAATTAGAAAACAGGACATTAGCAAGATCTGAAAGTAGAAACATTACAAGAAATGTTAATGAAATTAAAGATACATTTATATGAAAGAAGTAAAATCCTTTTAAAAATAAAAGAGGAAGGTATCAGAATAAACAACCATGAGGAATATCAACAGTTTGCTGGAAAGACCAAATGTAGGAGGAGAACACACAAAAGAGAGTGGAGGAATACACATATATAAGGGAAGAGATGGCACTCTGAAGAGAGAAGCAGCAAGTTACTCAGAAATACTGATACTTTCTTACAAGATTACATGGCACCACATCCTACAAGTCTTAATCTTAATACTTTCTGTTGCAAAATCTCAGGTTTCATAAGGTAAATAATTATGGGAAGATAAAGAAGACTGGAGTTCTGTCATAAAGTGATGCAACCTGATGAATAAATGAATGAATGACAATGATGATAGTGACATCTGTATTTGAAAACTCATACTGAAAGATAGAATTCAAATGGGAGATCTGTAACTAGAAGAGCAACAGATTACTTATTTGCTAACTTAAAATCTTCCTAACAATGTATAATGCAGCAATGGGGATAAGTTTCTGAGTGTTCTATATAGGTTCAATGAAACTTATGATTTTGCAATAATACATAGTACTATGGGAAGGGACAAAACAACAAAGAAAATAATATTTCTTCCATTCTTGGACAATGGCACTGTGTTATGGATGGCAGATCTGCTGATATTTCTAAGCACCTCTGATTATGCTGCATACTGGCACTGTTATTTGTATTTCTGGATCCATCATCTGAATCTTGAATGTGTGATGAATACTTTAAGCCAGGTCCAGACTTGTTGCATATCCCCGTTGTGTATCATCCGATGCAATGCGACAAAATTTTGCATCCAGACTTGTTGCGTATCTCCGTTGCGTATCAACGGATGCAACGTGACAAAGCTGAGAAGCAAAGCGCGATGCAACGCGTGCACATCCAGACTGGCACCACTGCAACGCGTGTCGTCCATTTGATGTGACGGGAAAAGACCGCCAAGTGAGCAAACAGCCCATCGCGTATCTCCGCATCAACATCTTACAATGGAAGGATGATACGGGGTACCGTCCATACTGAAATGATATGGGGATACGCAACAAATCTGGACCTGGCCTTACAGGGCCAACTTCTATTTATTTTCTGTTCTGAAGGGAGAGTGAACCTACAAATGCATGCACACGCCACCAGCACCACATGGTGTCACACACAAGAATAGAAACATGATCAGCTACAAACTGCTGTGGGAGTCTAAAGAATGTTATGAAAATAAACTTCATGACAACACAGAAACAACATAGAGAATAACTGTCAATACAAACAACATTATGAAACAAATCACAACTGAATGAACTATCAGATTTCCTGAGGACAGATGGCAGAGCTTGTGTGAGTGATATCATGTCCTTGCCAACAGATGGCATGCAAATAAAATCTTGAAAGGTAGACTGCTTTATATATTAAACCATAAATTGTTGCCCAAACATAAAAAGGAAATGAACAGCAGTTGCAGACAACTACAATCGCTACTATATTAAAGTGACAATACAATTCCTCTACTCTCAAAAATGGCGGCATAACAAATTTCAAACACTGACACACTTCTGAGGAGTATTGAAAGAACTGAATAGTCAATTAAAATGCTTATTTTCAAAATCTCTGTAAAACAGCACCATGACTGAAGAATCTACACAGTATTAATATTATTTATACGCCCTCATTTCCTCACCCTAAGAGCACCGAAGGTAGTACACTTCCTTTCACACAATGAACAGCTTAAGCTCTTTCCTACATGGCTTCTTGTATGTTCTTTAAGATGATATGACTTCTTAAATGCACGACTGCACTGTTTGCATCTGTAAAAGAGAAAAAGCTTGAAAATCTGTATCACAAACTAAAATTCATATGAAGAATTCTGTCTTCTGGGATATAATACTGTATAGTCCTTTGAAACTCAACCAATATTTTGGAGGAATATGTTGCTTCCATCTTTCAGGGTCAAAGAATAAGCAAGGTGAGAAACCAGCATGAAGCTTATTCTACATCCCTGAAGACCGAGGCAACACACCAAGTAATTCCATTTAAGTCATAACTATGTAGATATATAGTAACAAAGAAGTCCAAAATCAATAGGAAATCAATAATTAATATGTACATACACACATACATGCTATGTATACATACAATTACACTTTCTGTAATTTACCTATATTTTACCTTAAACTTATAATTATGTTTTATTTTTATTTACATTTTCTATCATTTTTGTATTTAATATCTTTATTTTACTAGTTGGCTATGCAATAGTTATCCAGCTGGGTAACAGAGCAAAAAGTAAACTTATGAACAATGGACTCATGTTGGATATATGGCATGATAATTCATTAATTCATGTTCAGGCATAGTACCACCTGAGGATGACCCAATAGTATGATAAAAACATGGGATTAAATAGAACACATTAAATACTACATAGCTTTGTTGATGGTTTTGAATAGAATTTCTAATTCTCTACAAAGCCTAGTATGCTAGTAGAACAGCTGATCCTAGAACCATGAATCAACAACAGGACTCGCAAAATATTATGACATGATGGAACAGTTTAACAAGAAAAGTAGTCTGTTGCTAGGCAACAGCACACTTACACATCAAACAAAACAAAAACAACCTCTGTGGTTTTAATCCGCAAGCGAACTATACTGTCCAAGCGACTGCTACTTGCCGGTGAAGTTAGTGCCAACTTTAAACATTTCCATTTACACATCACACTACAAAACAAGGACCCAAATTCCCTCAAAATTTACATCTGATTAGCATCCTGTCCACAACAGGCAAACTATTCCAAAAAGTCATTCTGAAAATAGTCCAAAAGCACACCGAAGAAAGAGCCCCACTTAACACAAACCAATTTGTAGTTTATGTACCGCCTTTGTGGTCTAGTGGTCAGAGTTTCTGGCTACAGATCCAGAGGTCCCGGGCTCGATTCCCAGCACTACCAGATTTTCTGAGAAACAGTGGGTCTGGAATGGCGTTCACTCAGCCTCCTGAGGATAACTGATAATTAATTCAAGCATGACACTGCAATGTATGAGGTTAACAGACCACGTGACCCTTAAATTCAACAATAATTTGTCTATGGCTGTGGTGTTCTTGGACGCTGAAAAAGTCTTTGATACCACATGGCACTCTGCCTTATCTAAGTTATCTAACTTGAAATTTTTGACCAGTTTGATCAAGCTCATTAGCTTCTTTTACTTTTCAAAATGCAAATTCAGCATTTTGGTGGAAGGCAAAATGCCACAGGAAATGCAAGCACGGGTGCCTCAAGATTCTGCCCTGTCCCCTACTTTGTACGTGTATATAAATGATGGCCCCCCCAACATCTGGTATTTACCTAGCCCTCTTTGACAATGACAACTGTCTTTATGTTTTGTGTCAGAAAACTCCAATGGAGACCTGGTGTGAGTGCTGGAATATTAAAATTAACGAAAATAAGACTCAGGAGATTTACTTTTCTCACAGTTGTCGACTGCCTGAGTCCCATCTTACACTGAATGGATGAAACATTCCATCTGTAAATAGTGTAAAATATCTTGATGTAATCTTCGATAAGAAGGTTACATGGAGATTGTACATGGAAATGATCAAAGCCAAGGCCTTCACAACATTTATTAGAATATATTCCCTATTCAAAAGTGAGTGATTAAGTGCCAACATTAAAGTGACCATCCACAAAGCACTCATTAGGAGTATCATGACTTATGCTTTCCCTGCCTGGGAGTTTGCAGCAGACAATCATTCACTCAAACTGCAGTGCCTGCAAAACAAAGTTCTCCACACCACTGGAAATTTTCCAAGACGCACACCAATGCATGATTTCCGCATTGCTTTCAAACTACCGTATATATATGCTTATACAAGAAAATTATGCAGGCAACAAGTAGAAGTGATAGAAAATCATGAAAATGCAAATGATCACAACATTGGATAAGGCAAACCACAACACAGGAAATATAACAGGCTTAAACTTGGGGGTGGTCAAGCATATGACCGTACAAGTGACTAGACTGCCATTGTAGCAGAAGCTACTAATAATAGGACATGATCTGCTGTATTGAGCATGGACTGACAAGAGGCCCTGTATAGGTTGTATATACATACATTTAATAATATGTATAATGTAAATTGTATGTACTGACAACAGACTTATTACCGCTGACTGTGACTCTGGCAAATGACAGACCTGTCCTCTTGACAGAGAGAGCGCCCCACATCAACAAGCCTGCTCTTGCCTGACAGCAATAAAGATCTGGTCTTAAGCACCAGATGGGTGCTTTATTCCAAGACAGACTGGCTGACTGACCGTTCGTTGTAACATAACTTTTAAGTGAATGAGTTAGCATCATGAATTAGCTGCAAGCCAGCTGCCATCAAGTGAGGACATGAGCATGGAAGCAAATGAATACCCAATGTTGGGAGCTATTACCTAGCAACTCCTGGTGAAGACACAGAAGCCTTTAATGTTTGGAGTAGTGATTTACAGTGTGTGTAGATTAGTGAAGTTACCTGTAGTTAAAAATTATAAGTGTTCAATAAGCCTCTTCACTGACACATGACAAAATGAAGTGACCATAATCTCTGGAATCTTATGGAGTGTTAAGGATCTTTACACAGTAATCTAAATCTTAAGATGCTGGATTGCTACATACTTGAAAGGCCGTTCACCAGGTGGAGCATCTGAACTGAAAGGTCGTCCTGGAACATAGTTTTTATCTTTCTCTGCGTCATCAGCCGCTACTGCAGCAGCAGCAGCAACTGGGCCATCCATCGGAGACATTACTGAGGGTTCAGGCTTAGAAGTAGTGTCAGCTGTTCCAGAAGACTGAGGTTCAGGCACTGGGTGCCCAGATGGAGGGAGAATGCTGGCCATGTTCGTAGTCATGGATGAACCTGATCCCAGACCTTCAAGTTCAAGAGGATCACTCTGTAACAAAAGGATGAACTTAATAAAGGCACATTTGTAACAGGTCCTGGGAGTAATATGCTAGTCATTCCTACAGAAGAACATGGGAATTCCTCAGTCAGCAGGAAGATTTATTATTTATTTATTATTACTGCTAGTGGAGTGGGACTAAGTCCCTTGTACTGTGGCCACTTCTGGCCTATTGTACCAGCCCCACATGATAGGTGAAGGTGATTGTGGAGCTACTGGTGGAATGAAGATTACACTGTCATAAAATGAAAATGAAATATGATTATTATTCAAATAAAATCACAATCATTTTACAGTTTCTATATTTGTATTGTCATGATTTATGTGCATGACTATAGATGGGGTCTGGATTGGTGAATGGCTTTATTGACCATCTATACACACAGCCTGGAACTACAAGTAATTTGTTGTTTACAACAAAGATAAATTCAAATTAAATTCTGATGTCTATAACATGAATACTAGACAAAAATATAACTTCCACCTACCCTCATCAACTTTATCAGTATATCAAAAAGGAGTCTACTTTACTGGCATAAAAGTGTTCAACAATCTGCCACAAAGTATTAAAAACTTGGGCAATGATACTAAAAAGTTTAAATCAGAGTTAAAGAATTATCTACATGCTCATTCCTTCTACTCTTTAGATGAATACTTCAATGTAAATAGAGAATGATGTAATATTAAGTTAGATTAATTTTTAAGCTAAAATTGCCTGTACTTATGTATGTAACCTTTTGACTTGTTCTGTATCCAAAGGTACTAACCTACTCAGGATTTATAGAATGTAAATAAATTCAATTCAATTCAATAGCACCACTGCTAATCTCCACAATTCACAAATCACAGCAGCAACCACTAAGCCTTTTCCAGCCTGCTGTGTCTTCACCAGTTGTTTCTTAGTAACGGCCTCTAACAGTGGAGATTCTTCAGCTTAACACACTCAGGTTTTATCATCACAGCCTCCTGTGCAGAACTCAACTGAACTGACTAACTCCCAGGCTGGTGGCCATTTCACACCAACCTCCTAGATTTCTCTTCACAGGCTGAGTTTTAGCTGACAACTCTGTCAACTGATAACTAATTGAACTGCACTGCCCCAGTTTTCTTCAAGACAACTCCTTGGCATGGACCACATAGAAAACACCGTCTCCAACAGTAACTCTCTTGTTCTAGAGGTGTGTTTACCATGCTGTTGCATAGCAATGGCTTTTGTCTCATGTGTTTTCGAGGTCTTTGCCTAGCAATAAGTCTATATGTCACAGTATGAAACATGTTCCCTTAGTTTAGGGAAGCTTTGAAACAAGACGCTCAGAAAAATATGGGTATATGGACATAAGAAAGAAAGAAGGAATCTGAAGAAATAAAAACTTCCATATTTATACAGGTCACATAGTGCTACTAGAAGATTAAAATTAAAATTTTAATGGGATGGATATGTAACCATGATGGGAAAAATAAAGAAACTGATTAGTGAAAGCAACAAATGTAAAGTGGTTTGGACTAGCACAGGGAATGTATGAATTCCATTATCATAGAGTCAGTCAAGTAGACAGATATAGAAAGGCTTAATCCTTGTTTGCATCCTTATTACAGTATGTTCGCTGGGTAAAATGCCAGCTAAGGGGGCCTGTTTCCTCCGACAAGACAGCAACATGCGAGCACACAGTCTAATGGAGGAATCATTCACATTCAAAAAATGTTTTCAGCAGAACAGTTTTCATTACTTACAATAGGCACTGAAAATGATTCAAGCATATTTGACTCTGACACAAATTCTGTGACGGTCACTGAAGTTTACCTTTCTTAATTTCTAGAATAATATCTTGTATTTAGAACTGCAAAACCAATGAGGTGTATGGATTATTTCTGTCTCATGTTTGTATAGAATTGAAAATTATACATAATCAGATCCAGTGAACGTGCAGCCATAGCTCTCCCATGATAATCAATCCAAAACAGATCACAGACCTGGGTACACTGTCCTGCTGAAACTAAATATGGCTAACTTTTAATTGCAGACAAGAAATTTATGTCATTCAATACTGTATCTTACCATGTGTGGACATAAACATAAAGAATGCAATGACTGGTTGGTTGCAAAACACACACCACAGAAGATGCCCACTGGCTGGTGTCTTGCTCTATGAAGAGGTGGTATTAAGGATACAAATGAAGAATGGAACCTCCCTGTATATGTATGAGGAGCATTCCGTATATAATGCCTCATATTTTTTTAATGAAGACTACAACAGATAGAGCAAGAATAATAACACAGTTAAATAGAGCACGATTTCAGCTACTTACAGTTATTTTTCCACATAATCACCACCATTCGTTATGCACTTCTGCCAGCACTAAACAAGCTGTATGCCATGATCGTAAAAGTCTGTGCCAGCAGAGGCAAGCCACTTTCTTATAGGTGCAATGACAGCATCGTTGTCTGGAAAATGTTGCCCACGTAGTCCATCTTTCATATACCCACAGAGATGGAAGTCAGAGTGTTCTGTATATAATGCCTCCTATTTGTTTAATGAAAACCACAACAGATACAGGAAGCATAATAACACAGTTAAACAGAGCAAGATTTCAGCTACTTACAGTTTTTCTTACAGCTGCAATAACAGCATCATTGTCTGGAAAATGTTTCCCACGTAGTCCATCTTTCATAGGCCCAAAGAGATGGAAGTCTGAAGGTGCTAAATCAGAGCTATAAGGTGGATGTGGTAGGACAGTCCAGCCAAACTTTGCAATGTGAGCGGTGGTCGCCAAACTGGTATGGGATCTAGCGTTATCGTGTTGCAAGCAAAAGGCTGTCTGCTTCTCTGGCCTGACTCGGGAAATGCGGGCTTTCAGCTTAGTCAGCGTCATCTTGTAGCGTTCAGAATTGACAGTCTCACCAGGCTCCAGGAAATCCAACAAAATCACACCCCGCCTATCCCAAAAGACCGTGCACATCACTTTCCCTGCCGATGGCTGGGTCTTGAACTTCTTGTTTCTTGGGGAATCTGGATGTCACCACTACATGGATTGTCTTTTGGATTCCAGCTCATAGTGGTAACACAATGTCTCATCTCCGGTGACGATGCTGTCCAGAAACTTGTCACCTTCAGCCTCAAACTGGTGCAACAGGTCCTGACAGGCTTCCATTCAATGAGTTTTTTGGTCCTGTGTAAGCATCCACTGGACCCATCTGGAACAGACTTTGTGATAATCCAGCTTCCCCAACATCGTTTCCAATACATTACAGCCAATATTAAGCCGTGCACACAGTTCCCTGGTTGTTATCCGCCGATCTGCAAGGTTCAGCTGATCGAGGCACTATTCATTGCGAGGAGTGGCAGCTGAGCAGGGATGCCCAGCACGTGGTTTGTTGTGCACTTCACTTTCGCCACTGTTGAAACGCAGTACCCACCGCCTCACTATGCTGACATCCACTGTATCATCTCCGTACACCTTTAGCAAGTGTTGATGGATGTCAATGGGTGCAATTTGTTCGGCAGTGAGAAACTGAATAACACATCTCTGTTTTGTACGCACTTCTATGTCAGACACCATTTTGGTAGACTGTTCTGCTGTTGCTATCTGTTGCATGACAGCAAAACTAACAATACATTGGCAGAAAGGTTCAACCTTTACTAGACCACCACCAACAGCCACCTCAGACGTTACAGATTAACACAAAAAATAGGAGGCATTATACGAGGGTTGGAACTTTAATAGTGGCAACTATTTATTTACAACTGATACAAAATAGAGACATGTTTTCAAGTTTTATTGTCCTTCAGTGTAGTCACCAGCATTGTGTACAACCCGTTGCCAGCGATGTGGAAGTCATAGGATACCTTTAGCAGTGCCTGTTTTGTTGACAGTTTGAATGGAGCAGTCTACTGCCTGAAGAATCTCTGGAACAGTTCTGAAGCGAATGTCACGAAGTCGTCCCTTCATCCTAGGAATCAAGTTGAAGTCACAAGGGCTTAAGTCCAGGGAGTATGGTGGATGGTACAGTACTTCCCAGCCCCACTGATCAAACAAATCAGCCACAGCTTGCCATTTCTGCACTTCCATCAAATAATGCGGAACCCATTGTGATGCAATTTTTCTCATGCCTAGGTGTGCCTTCAGAATGTGAAGCACAGTCGTATGAGCTAATCCTGTCTCTCGGGCCAGCTCATGAATCGTATGGCATCGATCACTCTCCAGTAACACGAAAAGGGCATACACGTCTTCTTCACTGACACTAGGACCACCTGGCCGTCGCATGTCTGCCACATTTTGGCATCCCTTATTGAAGGCTTTCACCCACCTTGCTACTGTTCTGTAAGGCAATGCAGATTCCCCGCAAGCCTCTTGAAGACCTTGATGACACTGTCATGCTCTACGGCCTCTGGCACATTCAATCTTTATCCAACTCTGTTGTTCCTGTTTCAAAAACATCGTGACAACACTACATTAGACTGCCAGCTAACACAAGGCTCTGTTCTTCTTGTCACTGTGCATGTGTATGATGTGGGAAGGGAGAGTCCATTTGCTCTGAGGCAAGGTAGGTATGTAACTAACGTGTGGTATAAGCGACATTATTTGGTTCTGTTGCATGGCATCTCTACAGTAGTGTTGCCACTATTAAAGTTCCAACCCTTGTACATGGAGCGCCCTTCATAGAAGCACAACCTGAGTGTTTCCTAATGGAATGATACAAAATTAGACTGATCATACAGTGACATTCCAATCTAAGGTTGCCTAGGGGAACACAACATTTTAATTTGGATCATGAAATAGAGCCTCAAATGAGAGAAAACCTTAAGGAACACCATTGGGGGGGGGGTTCAATTTATATAAGACTCTCAAGGATGAAACATGACAGTTTTCTTACCTGAAGAGTAATAGCTGAGAAGACACAAGATTCAAAACCTGCTGAATCAAAGGTGGTGCCAAATACACTGCTGTTACCAGAAGGTTCTGCTGGATTCTTGTTTCTGTTATCATCTTTATGTCCTTCTGACAAAGTGCCTAGGGCTGAAGGATCAGGCTGAGCTGATGGAGAAGTAGCAGCTCCAAGAGTACGTGCCAAATCTTCAGTTGTGGTGGACTCGACTTCACTGTCACTACCGCCAACTTCGACCCTTGTGGCCAGGTCACTGGATGCTCCCCCAACATTTACGACATCCGATGTTACAGTTGCAGAAGTACCAAAAATCTGCTCATTCAGTGTACGCTCAATTTCCCGGATGCTCTCCTGACAAACAAATTTTATTATTTTAAATTAGGAATATGTTCAAAACACATACAATATTCCCTATATTGCACAGTGATTTCTTAGTATGACATACTCCTTGTTGTCTGGCTTATCATGGGGGACGTGATCTGCCAGTGGCATGGGAAAAGCTCCTAAAGAAACACAATGCAAAGTCAAAACAACACATTTTTACTTTTTCCTTTTGTGTGAAAGTCTCCATAGGCAACACAGTACATTGGCGGGAGAAGGATTTTGGATACATGATCACAAAGTGAATTAGCCCCTACTGTAATGGCACCTGTATGAGGGAGGATGATGGGTAGGGCTATTAGTGGTAACTGTGAGAACTACTGTCTGGTGGGTGAACATATCAAGACTGCAAAACTTTGTTTTTAAATAACTTTATAAGAATGGCAAATTTTCATTGACTTTTGTGCCAGTTGTATGAGAATTCCAGATGCCTGGATACTGGATAACCAGGAGTTTACTATAAAAAGAAAGATGCCTGTACTCAGACATGTTTTACTTTTTAATTTCTGAGAATGCAAAATCTTTAAAGGAAAAGATTTTACTTATTCCTATTCTGTTTAATAAAATCACGTGAACAGCATTAGCAACCTACACACACATACTTATTGCTCAAATACTGGTGTTTAAATACAGTGATTATATTTCACATGGTAGGTGGCTATTAGCAAAGAAACTGTAAATAATGGCCAGATCTGAAATAGTAATTAGGAACACTCACAAAACTGTAAGTATCTTAGAGAAACATGTTATAAAGATGTAAACTGGCTCATGATAGTTTAATGATAGACTTAATGAACACAATGATGGAACTCTGGGTTCTGAAAATTTATAACACTTTCTGTTATATAGACCGTTGCTACCTGAGTCAAAGTATGTTGTCCAGCAAGGCTTGGCAATGTAATGGTCCCTGTGGCATCAGCATGCAAAGTATGTGTTATCACCCCAGGAGCTGTTACAGGATCAGCACCGTCCCCCAGAGGACCTGTGAATAAGAAAAAGCTCGTAAAATATGCAATAAACGACCTCATTAAGGGTCTGGAAGGATTGGTGAGATTCAATGTGTCAAACTTTTCTATTCTAAAATGAAAACAACAGTAAAAAATAATTGCTCCTAATCCACTATCAGTGCAAATAAATCCCTTTAACAGAATGAAGTCTACATGCTTGCTTACAATATATCAATGCCGAAAATAAAAATATTAACATTTGGGTAAAGAACAGGCTATTTGTTAATTCTTTCAGCTATTGTATAACTCTGTATGAACTCCAATGCCATATATAGGCATATGAGGTAAGGTAGGATGGTTAAGTGGTCACTGTGGATTTCACGGTTCTATAGCAGCATGGTGCTGGAGTATTTGAGGAAAATGACAACTCTCAGCACTCGTGGCCCCAAACAGACTCTAACTACATACTGTCCAAATCAAGATTATGATCAGTACAACTGACAGTCCCTTGTTTACTTCTTCATTCCATGATGTACTTGTAACTACTGAATGTTGGCATAAATGTTAAATTTCCACTTATTCTAACATATATTGTAGATTAATACAAATGAAGGATACACATCTAAAAATTAACAAATAGTCCTATTAAGCGTACTACATTGTGGGATGCAGAAATCTGGAAGAAGTCCTCTGATATTACAGGGGAATGCACTGCCCCCTTCTTCATGTCAAAGTATAATCATCTTCACACGTGGAAGATGGGGGCAACAGTTCCTTCCAAAACATTGGTACCAATCAATCACAATATATGGCATCAAATTCCAGAAGAACACAATCTTAATGGCTTTATAATTTAAATGTTTCAGGTCATCAAGCTCAGCTGGAAGACAGACTTGATCTTTAACACAATCCGATTGAAGACCGTCTACAGGATTTCAAATCCAAAGATTTGGGGCAAAATTATATATGACTTTTGCAGTAAATATATCCTTTGAGAACTACTTTAATTCTGTTGTAAGCACCTCATATAGTTTATTCCTAAAGTAGATCTCGTACAAACACAGAAAACAATGTTTTTACCCACTTTCCTTAATTTCTAAGGAAAGATAGACCTATGGAATTTTCAGTCTATACAGTTCTGGATCAACAGACAAATATTCGTGCAACCTGGTATCAACATCATGCCACTAAAGGCCATATTTGTACCCTTTAACTTCCTAACATCAATAATTCGAACATGGTGACCATGCAGATGATAGACACAGAAGTCTCAGTAGTGCCACTGTGCACACAGTGGTTATGAAAACATTTGATATGGGAGCAACACTAGTGCCACTACTAGAGTGGTGGCTATGGAAACATCTGAAATGGGAGTGACACTAGTACCACTACTAGAGTGGTGGCTATGGAAACATCTGAAATGGGAGTGACACTAGTACCACTACTAGAGTGGTGGCTATGGAAACATCTGAAATGGGAGTGACACTAGTACCACTACTAGAGTGGTGGCTATGGAAACATCTGTCATGGGAGCAATACTAGTGTCATTACTAGTGTGCCAAAAATGCAGACATCTGACGTGGAAGCAACATCAGTGCCACTGCCAATGTGACAGCCATGCAAACATCTGACGTCGAAGCAACATTAGTGCCACTACCAATGTGGTAGTCATGGAAACACTGTGCATGGGGGTAATGCTAGTGCCACTACCAGAGTGGGAGCCATGTAAACATCTGATACGGCAGCAACATGCATGCCACTACTAGCGTGGTAACCATGCAGAGATGTGACATGGGAGTGATACTCATGTCAGTACTGGTGCGGCAGCCATGCATGCATCTGAAATGGAAGCAACACTAGTACCACCGCTTGCAAACATCTGACATGGGGCATGCCTATAGTACAACTAGGAGTACATCAATATGGAATCATATTTTGTATTGAAATTAAACCTTCAAAATACATGAAATTTCAGGTAAGACAATGTGTTTGCAGACTTTGAAATAATATCATGACAAGTACAGAAAATCTATGTTAGCATTTGTTTTGATGGTGCCGACGAACCACTGGTGACAATCACGTGAAACTCTCTATGAGGGAGATCATAAACTTATGTGTAAATCTCATGACACATTTTATACATATAAAAAAGTACAAACATGGTGAAGGTGTAATACTCTGGTGTTATAGTGTTCTAATTTAGCGCACTCAGGATCTGTACTAGTGAAAAGTATACACAGAGATGGATCAATAAATTCTACAGATATTAATATACAGTTCTTGTCATTCTTGCCTCTAGGCATTATAATTTCTTTACCAAATTTATCTGAATTACTGTTTCAATTGTTAGCAATACAATTTCTGTATGACAATTATTTTGTTCAAAAACAATTTTGAAGGTACAACACTGTGACATGATAGATGAGGAAATCGTCTGCTGCTAGGTAATGGCTTGGCAAACATATGTCCATGGCAATGGATACACGTGCAACAATAGAAGGGATTGTTGCGAAAGATGTTTTCTGTACTGTCTGTCCTGAGTCTATATAGCGAGGGCCACTGGGAAAAGTTAAGAGAGGGATAGCCAGTGAATAGACAGTGAAGGCTAGGGGGGCAAAGAGCTGTAGTTGATAGTTGAGTTTCAAGCTAGCCATGATGTGAACTTGAAAGCAGACAAGGTGCACTGTCAGCAGCCGTAACCTAGCAGTGCCTAGTGAAAACTATAAGAGACTGGGATATTGCGATCTGTTAAGTGTGTAGGTTATTGGCAGTGTTATAATTATTTGCAGTTTTGAGTTATAAGCGATTAATATATCCAATTATCAACCAAAGCCAAATTTTTAGTCACTATCACATGACAATTGGTGTCAGAAGTGGGATATACTGGATTAAGCGGATTACTGGACTGAAGACTGCAGTGGATAGTTATATTGCATATTATGAAGATGAAACAAATTATAGAATGTCTTCTGGCTGAAATGAAGGCTAACCAAGAAGAAAAGAAAGCCAGTTAGGGAAAAAATGGAGGCCCAGAGGAATGCCAATCGAGAAGAGAGGAAAGCCGGGATAAAGGCTAACCAAGAAAGTATGTGGACCATCTGGTTAGGGACAGAAGCCAAGATAGAGACCTGCATGGAAAAGATGTGGGCCAATCAGGAAATATTCTAGGTCAAGACAGAGGCCAATCCACAAAAGACAGACACCGTAGTGAAGCCTTATAAATGGGCTCCATGCATATAAACTATGCATGTGCTTACTGCCCTGTGGGGCCGGGCTAGCAATGTTCTACACAGAGCTCCTAAAGGACTGATGTATAAGGAGACTATTGGGGTAACTGAGGACTGGTTTGAGGACCGGAATCTGACGACAGAAACCATGATCAACTGAAAATGCAAAAGTTTGCCACCACCACTGAACAGCTGGCCCACCGTGCTTTCCTGCACCGCATGAGGACCATGTTCTTAAGGGAGCATGCAGGGCATTTGGCAATGGCATAAGAGACCAAGGCAAGAAGGCACTCAACAAGACCCTCAGGCAGACCTTAGGGCTGGAAGTCATAAAGTTGACAGTCAGATCTTCCACCTGGCTCCAGAAAATGAGTGACAGGGCACAGGGAGCTGGCCCCTCCCAAACGAAAGAAGAAACGACCAACCGTTTACATGCTGGCACTGTAGGAGCACCAGCCACTTTCAAAAGTTCTGTCCCCACAAACTGGAAAAAAGAAATGCTAACACCAGCACGATGTTGAAGTGCCTTTCATGAGACTGATCACAGATGTCACAGGTACATCCTCCTTTGGGTAAGAAGGAATGGCAATATGCCTACAGACCATTTGGGATGAACAGCCTTAAGGAGGAAGCAATGTGACATGATGGCAGAAAATGGTCCACTGCTAGGTAACGGTTCAATAAACACGGGTCAATGATAATGTATATGTACAACAATAGAAGGGATTGTTGGGAATGATGTTTCCTACATTGTCAACCATGAGGCCACAGAGTGAGGGCTGTTGGGAGAAGTTAGAGAGTAATAATAGCAAGTGAGTAGTCAGTGATATCTAGGAGGCCAGGAATAGCAGTTGAGGTGCAAGCCAACAAGAACGCGAAACCTGGAAGCAGAGGAGTTGTAATGTTAGCAGCTGTAACCTAGCCATGCCTGGTGAAGACTAACCAAGCAACGACTAGTGAACACTCTAACAGACTTACACGTAACATGTGCTATAGTGATTTGTTAATTGTGTAGATTAATGGCAGTGTTGTAATTACTTGTAGTTACGATATGTTAGCATTCAATAATTCCAATTAATAACCCAAACACCATGTCTAGGAATTAACACATGACAATATGAAGGTGAATATGTGGTATGACAGTAAAGTTCGCGAACTCATTGCAGTAAGAGTGCTACATACCTCACTGCTGAATAGCACTGTGGTTCGTGTCAAAGTACTCCCCTCGGGAAGCTATGCACCCATGCACCCTTTGAATAATTTTGGAACTGGTTTTGTGGAATGGCCTTCAGTGCTGCTGCTGTATTACTCCTGATGTCATCAACGTAATCAAAATGCCTACCTTTCAATATTTCCTTTACCTTGGGAACAGAAAGAGTCACAGTGGGCTAGATCCAGTGAAAAGGGAGGGTGTTCTAGCACAGTTATTTGTTTACTACCTACAAACTCCCTCGCAGACAGTGTCATGTGAGCAGGTCCTTTGGGACCATTTTTGCACACATCTTCCTCATGTCAAGATTTTCCTGTTTCTCTGTCGATGTTTGCCTGCTCTGCTATGCTCCTGACAGTCAGCCAATAATTTTCACGCATAATTTAATGAACTTTTGCAATATTTTCTTCAGTTCTGTTAGTTCTGGCTGTCCTGAATCTCTCTTCATCAGTGACACTTTCTCTTCCCTCATAAAAACATGTCATCCACTTGTAAACTGCTATTTTCTTCATAGCATTATCCCCAAAAACTTGCACTAACGTCTCTCTGATTTCGCTTCCACTCTTGCCAAGTTTAACAAGAAGCTCCGACATCCTCACAACAGCACACCAAAACACACTCAGACAATAACAGATGCCACTTAGAAAGAGACAGCCACAGAGCAACAACACAGCTGTGAAACACTGATATGCCAACATCATTAAACCATACTGAAGTTTCTGTAAGCTGCTGCCATGTTAAGCACATGGTGGCGAGTTTACGAACTTTACTGTCAGACCACATATATCTTTTATTTATCTAAATTATCAGACAAAATACTCTTGAGTACAAAATACTTTCAGCATAATGGAAACAACATGCTCACCAGAAGCAAGTGTATGAACAAGCGTATTCTGAGCAAATGTTGATTCCTCTTGCTCCTGTTGTTCAGTGGTTGAGGCCACCTGAAATGGCTGATCTGAAAATGCTTGAGTGAAGTCTGGACCTAGACCTTCAGGCGGGAAGTTTGTACTTTCTGTCACCACGGCAGGACCTTGCCCATTTACTGGTATCGTGCTGAGAATATTAGTTCCTTCTTCTTTGGCTGTTTGCTGTGCAACCTAACAGAATCATGATAACTGGGAATGCTTAAAACACCTTGAAAAGGACTACGTACAGAGATAAAAGGAGGAGACATAACAATTTAATCTTTTGAGCCATAAAACACAACAGAATACAATAAAATTAAATGTCCTGTTTTATGTCTAGGGCATTTATTCGTATATTAACTGGTCAAATAGCATCAGGACATGGAAAATTTAAATGATATAAAAAGGGACTAAACACTGCACTGTAAAAACGCTCATGGAAGACTCCGTATCATGCAGTCATCATGGAGTCAGTTTGAGAGAAAACTGCTTTACTCACCTGTAGAGCCAGTTCATGCTTATGAGTCTTGATGTGTTTGCGGCAGTTGACGGATGTTTTGAATGTTTTATGACAGTATGGACACATGAAGGGCCTGACATCACTGTGTGTCCCCATATGACGTTTTAAGCTTCCATTTGTAGAGAACATGTTACTACATTCTGGACACTTGTATGATTTTACTCCTTCATGTGTACGTTGGTGAGCTTTGAGCACCCCATTTGATATGAAATGCCTGTTTGAAAAATATTACTTTAATTTGGAGATAACAATTATTTCTATACTGAAACCGAAGACAAAAGCCTTTTCAAGCACAGTGAACTCTTGAATAACTGCATTAACAGGTAAGAGGGGAAGCATAAATAACTGAAAAAATACAAAATATCCAAAATTCAACTGAAAACAGCCTAAATGTACAAGAGGAAGGCTATAAAAGATCAAGTATGAGAAAGGTAGAGATAGGTTACCAAAAGTGATTTATTTAAAGTATTAAGGGTAGATGAATAGTACAGACTAAGAAACACGGTGAAAAAATATGTAATAACAGAGATAATTAGATATAGAGGCTTATCATCCATTGACTTCCCTGATATTAGACAAAATGTATATTCTGAGGGAGAAAAAATGAAGGACAACATGTATATATGGGTGCTTCCCCCCAGTGCACTCACCCCTTGGCAGAAAGAGTGCCATAAGATACAGAAATATGCACACAGAGCATATCCTTCCGAAGTGCTCTCTGGATACCGATCTTTATTTCATGGCGCTGTGAATTTGTAATTTCTTGGCTACTGAGCTGGGTTTATCAGAGACACTTACAGTAGCAGGGATGTGTCATGAAATGAAAACTATGTACAACTCTTTACAGTTTCGATGCATATTCCAAATATATCCAGTGTCTTATATACCAATATTATGGTTACGTAATTGCTTAGAAGCTTATCAGGCAATGCTAGTGTACACTTAAGGTACAATGTAAAAGAGTTTATCAACAGGCAGAAGAGCAGCACATGAAGTGAAAAGAACAAGCAATTTTCTTCAGAACTTTAGTATTAGGAGGAAAATTTCTGTTCCAAATGTCTATATCCTATATTCTAGGAAAAGTGTTTCAGAAAAATGTGTACAGATGAAGTAGTAGTTCTATTCTGAATGTGAGGGATCAAAATCTGTAACAGTGACATGAGTAAATTTGAAATTATGCTTATGACAGAAAGCATGGCTTATCCAACAATATAAATCAACTTTCAGTATATGGGTTGAGGTTACCAGTAAGTGATCCTGGGGATGTTCATACAGAGCCCACTGAACATTTTCATCTCAATTTCAATAATAAATTTCTACAGCCAATAAGAAACAAAATAAACTTATGGGCTGCTGCAAAGAAATAAAAACAAAATTTGAAGAAGTGGCTGAATATGTCAGAGAGAAAGCCTGCTCTTATGAACACAAAGGAGCCTGCACCCATTTCCAGATATTGCAAATTATTTTTCTGAAGCATGATATAACAAAATATAATTTCTTTACATGTGTTTTACACTGGATAAGTTTATGTTAACATAACTTTAGAAACTGACAGAAGCAGACTGCTTTTACCGGTTCTCACAGTCTCTTCGCTTGCAGATTTCTTATATTTTTTCTTCTACCCTGAAGATGGAGGCGATACGTTCCTCCGAAACGTCGGTTAACACCACATATACATGGTGCCAAATCCCAGAAGACTGCTTTCTTTATAGTCGCCGCCGTGAAAGCCTCAAATCTTATATGACCTTTCCTGTAATATCCCTTCATGGGGAATTACAGCTTTTGACTCATAGCTCTGATAGTTCTTTGGGCAAACTTGTCATAGATCATGACCTCTGACCTTGAAACATATTTCCATCTCACTTTTTCTCTCACTTGCTATGCTATAAGCACAATGTGGCATGAATATTAGCATTTACTGCAATCTTAGATATATCATCCAATTAAATGCTTTAAATGTTTAAAACCAATCAATATATTTTTCAAATTCAAAGTGAAGACAACCCTTCATTATTCAATTCTGGAAACCGGAAAAAACCTAGTCTTTCAATTGGGTAAACATGATAATAAATCAAGGTAGAAATGTTATATAGGGATTGAATTTTCATTCACTAAATATATGAAAAGCACTACAGTGAGAAACAATGACTTGGGGAAAATTATATATTATTTATATCGGGCTATCGTTGGAATCACAAAATTTGAGTACAAAATGCGGGAATCTCTTAGACCAAGAAACCTCAAATCAGGATCCTAGTCTATATGGTATCTATATACGAGTCCCTATTTATATAATCTTTGAATTAAATGGTTAACTTCCATATAACTTAGCAGTATCATGTTATTTAAACCAATATAATATAATATAATATTGCAAGTATTACCTATCACATAGCGTGCACTTATATGGGCGTTCACCAGTGTGCATGCGAATATGCTGTTTGAGATGACTTAATTTACGAAATGCTGCATTGCATACATTACACATGTATGGACGATCCAAACTCACAGTGTTACCAGGAAGGAAAACAGTACTGTTGCGTGCCACAGCTTGTACAAATCCTGTAAGAGTGAACATCAGCATAGCATTTGGTTTATGCAGGTTACAAATATGAAGAGGTAAGATATTTGCAAGATATAAAATACTTCTTTTGTCGTTATTAAATGATGCTGTATTAACTGCAGTGTTTATGAATTACTTAACGAGATATGGGAATGGGACTATGAATAATGGACATGAGTTTCTCACGGATGAACACAGGATTCCTCCGAGTGTTCCACAAAAAAAAAATGTTGAACAAATGACTGCTGGGGTGACAAAGAATGGTGGAAAGACCAGCTCAGAGAAAATGCACGAAAGAGAATAGTCAGGAGCGGAAAAGCTGCAAAATGAGCATTCATGGGAGGACAGGGAAAAATGGAAAAGGCACCCTCCCCAGATGATTCACCAGATAGTGTCCGTGTAACAGCACAAATTTTCCAACAGTAGGGTCCATGTGTTGGGACTGTAAATACTTACCATTATTTGTGATAATGATTGGTTCCTGCAAAGCAACTTCTGGTAAGACAGGAAGAGTAGGTTTCTGTCTCACCAGTTTTCGCCTTGCAACCCTTTCTTCGGATGTTCCACTACCTTCTTTGGTATGAGACAACATGTGAGTCTTTTGATGACCCGTAGTTCGGAATGTCTTGTCACAGAGCTGACATGCAAAGGGTTTGGTACCTGTATGCATCCTGGTGCAAAACACACAAAGAAACACTGCTGATCAATTCAGACAAGTACACATTGGAGGAATGTACAGTATGTGAGGATAGTCTTGAAACTGGTCGCGCAGGCTAGTGATGGTGAGTGGGAAGACAGATACAGTCAGACTGAGCTGTGGGTGGTGTTTTGCACAAGCATACTTTGTGACTGTTACAGTTCAGCCAGCTGGTTTCAACAGTTGCCTCACACAGTATATATTCCAACGTCCTTGCCAACATGCTTCATTCATATGAGATACTCTTTAACACATTCACAGTGGGAAGACAATTCTTACTCCTGTGGTACTTTTCCTAGCAAGCAGGAAGCAAGGAACTGATGCTTCTGGTGTGCCCAATTTAAAAGATTGTATATTTCATTTACTTCTCACAGATATGGCTCTATAGGAGGCTGTCACATTTGCATTACTTAAATCCCCTGTAACATGGTTCTGCTGGCCAGATTTTATTGGGGGAGGTCTGAACATGTAATGGTATTAACAGTGAAATGTTTATGTCTTTGGAACTATGCCTACTAAAGTATTCTAGTGGTATTTGAAAGAAAATATACTGCTATAGTCTGTAGTGTTCTTATTTATTATAATAAAAATTCCTTTTTCTCAAAAAGATTACAGATTTCTGTCATAAAATATTATGTACACAGATCCTGATAGACAGCGATTTTGAAAAAAAAAAATTTCTTTCCATGCTGTGAGAGAACTATGTATGGTAAATATAAAAACAACAACACATGGAACTTTGTGCTCTACGCATATACGTTTGGCAGTCATTCATTTCCTTTTGGCTGAGACACTGCAAGCATGACCCTGCTGTTGGCCAGTGATAGAACAGTATCTTCACATCAAGACATCTGTCTTGAGATTGCAGACAACTAACAGAACACAACATTTTCATAAATGCTCAGCTTTCTGAAGGTTGTCTTGTTTATGAACATCTGTACTATGTTAAGAAGAAGGCTTATATAGTAGATATCAGAAAGAAATTTATAATGCAGATATTGTAACAGAAACAGCCGTTTCAGTTCCACATATTAAAATAAACTTAGAAAACCACAGTAACTGAATCTGTTTTCTAACACTTGACAATGGGATATGCATGCAAAAGGAGCCTCCAAATTATGTATTTGGATGCACATTAACTTACACACAGTCAATGTGCTAACAAATAACAACAAAAGGGGATGGGGAGTAATATAATGCTTTTGAAGATTACCGTATGTGAACTTTAAGACTGCTAGCAGAAGAGAATTTTTTGAGGCACATATAGCACACATGGTCCCTGATACCAGTGTGCGTCCGAATGTGGGCAGTGAGTGTAGACTTCACAGCAAAGGACCGGAAACAATGAGTGCACTGTAACAGAAACATCTGAAAGTAATTCTGCTGCCAACTTCATGTTAGTAGAGCACTTAAGACGGTGGTTCTGAAACTTTGTCACTTTATGATTATATGCAATGACCATCCTTCATACTATGTATGACAATAACACCGCCATAATTTGGTTTCTTGGAATTAGGTGTAGGCAGTGGCATTTTATTTGCACCAAAAAGTATCAGTTACACCACTGTCATGACTCAGTGGTTTGCATTTAGGTAGTGACAATTTCTCTATAACAGATATAATGCTTACAGAGTCATGACCTGTGTTTTGCAGTTAGGTAGTGGCATTTTTTTCTACACTAGATGCAATGGTTATGCAACCAAGACAGAGAAAACACGTTGACAGCTGTGTATGACTTCACGTGAAATTTACTGTATTAATTAAAAGACTTTCTTTGGATAGACATAAAGACAAATAAAGAATTACAACTTAGTGACATAACTCATACTCTGGCACCAATGTTCACTTTTTACACACATGGGACACAGGCCTAATATTACATAACTTATTAACACTTTAAAATATACTATCTAATAATGTTAACATACTAATATCAGTGTCTGAGTGTCATGTAGGATAATGGTTTCTTATGAATGAGATATAAATCCAGTATGTTGAAGAATATCAACATCTGCATATGCTTTATGCTACTTCAATTAAATTGTTTGAACAAGATGTCCAGTTACCTTGTATGGCCGTTCATGTGTGTGTATTCTGATATGCCTAACTAGATCTGAGGGTTTCTTGAATTCTTTGGTACAGTATGAACACTGATGCCATCGAACTGTCCCCACACGACGTTGCCGAATGATGTATCTCCTGTATTCACAAAACAAAAATTACAATAAATATATATACAGTAAAACTTGGTTATAGCAACATCGGTTTCTGCGACACCTTGTCTATTGCGTCAAATATTCAATGGTACAAACTAATTCCTCATAAAGCAACTGCTTTTATACCTTGCTTAGTACGACATGCACAAATGCATCAACCTCGTATGTAACGTCATTTTCATTCCTGAATTTCTCTGATATCGTGGGAAAGTTCAATGTGTCTGCCCACCCTCACTTTCTCTACTTGCTGACGTGACTGTCCTGGAAGAATACGACCGCGGGCTGCAAGAGGAGCGTGGGTTTTATGCGAAAACAAGGGTGTGGGGTGGGACTGCGTGAATAGTGCAAGAGGACGCGGCAGGTTGTTAACTGCATTCCTTTCCTAGAATCTCGTCTAACAGGACCTCACATTGTCTACTTACCCTATAGTGTTCCTGCCTAAACCCAGAGAAGTGCAGTAGCGAAAACATGGCAATGAAAAGGAAAGTTTTAAGCATTGAAGAGAAAGTTAAAGTGATTCGTGAAATAGAAAAGGGAAGGAAAAAAGCTGATGTATGCCGCGAATTTGGTTTGGTGAATTCTACAGTACAAACGATATGGAGAATCCATATTAATTCCACGTTAATGTTACGTTAGTCTGTACTTAACTACGTATTTCACTAAAAAATGCAACATTTTAACTCGGTTTTTGGTAGATTTTTACGTGACTAACATAAGGCTACTGTGGAAGTGCCCATTTCGGTTACAACGACATTCATTTATAACGACACTATTTTTATGTCCCTTTGATGACGTTATAACCAAGTTCTACTGTATATATATATATATTACATGCTTTGCAGTTAAATTAAATTTGCTATTTTAGTATTCTCTATTACTTATTCAGATGGCTGTATGCAAGGCATGCCCAGAGACTATTCTGCTCTTTCTGTTGTCATTTCCCCATAACTGTCTTTTCTCCCTATCTCAAAATCATTCATTACTTCTTCCTAGTGGTCTTCAAATCACACTAAATGGGATGTAATGATTTCAGGGACCACCCAGATCACACCAAGTTTCAAAATCTACCTCTCAGCATCCACAAGAGGGAAGGCACTCTGGTCCAGTGACCTTATGTTCATTTCTTATACAATTATTAGAATTAGTAGCAAATATCAAACATCTTGGGGAATGAAGAGTTCTGTTCTCTGGGATGTGATACCACAATGTCTGGTAGAAGTTTACCAATGTTTCAGAGGAACATACAGCTCCAACTTCAGATATGAACAGTATGCTGAGCAGGCAAGCTAGCAGGAACCAGCAGCCACTCTGTTTGCTGCTTGCTTAGCGGACTTTCTGACACTGAAGATGGAGGCAGTATGCTCCTCCAAAATGTCAGCATGTCACATTCCAGACGAAAGTACTCATCAGAGTAATTGCTGTAAGATTCTCAAATCTCGCATTTTGGAGAACATTTGATACACTTCAAGACAAGATAAAATAGAGATCAGGAATCACTGGCTGGAAATAGCTATAATAGAACTTGCACACAGAATTAAAACAGAGGTGATGGAACTGATGAAAAGCAATGGAACATCAGAACAAATTCATACTTCAAAACAGCACTATCAGCTATAGCNATAAAAGCTATAGCAAAAGCTGGAACTACAGTCTTTGAATGTTGGGAAACAGGAAATTTGTATTCAAATCTTCACTGGGCTGTTTGTATACATATTAATGAGATATCTTGTGATAGAGGAAACTTTGTAATGGTCTCATTATCCATTTAAGGATAAATAGGGATTTGAAAAAAAACCTCTAGAGCAGAAGATACCTGGGCCTGAATCATGCTGTAATGCGAAGAAGAAGGATAAAGAGGGTTTGGCAGTGGAGGAGGAGGAAGAGAGGAATAATAAGAAAATAATAAAAGCAAGATTAAAATATCTACCTCACTGTTCCATCAAGTCCTCTGTCAGCCAATGTAATGTAGCTTGTTGTACTGCTGTCCTTGTGTGGGCGAACTGTTCCAGTGTCGCCACTAACATCACCCTTCATTTTGCTTTCCTGTTTGGAAGAACCATCCTGCAGTCCTGTAAGAAAATGAACAGTGAATGGCCAGACTTCATTAACGTCATGGCACAGAGTAGTAATCTTTGAGCACTGCCTCAAACATTCCTTGCTGTTAGGTAAACCAAAGGGTCATCACTGTGTTGACAGAAGCCCATCACTAGACCCCAACCCTGGACCATATCTTCGCTACCTGTTTGTATAGTTCTCACGTGCAGCCATCTGATATTTTCACTGGGTGAGGGATGTCATCAAATGTTTATATAAAAATTTTAAAGAAATATGGCAGGATGGTGTGTCCTGAATTCATATGGCTCAGGACAGGGAACAACAGTGGTCTCTTATGGATATGGTAAGAAACTTCTGGCTTCCATAAAAGACAAACCATTTCTTGACTAGCTCAGTGGTTTCAACCAGGAATGCTCCAAGGAGTTATTAAGTTATTTATCAAGCTCTGTTTAATCTCCTTTTATATATTTCTAATTTTTATTCTAATACTGAATAAACTTAGTAACTGAATGCTTTCAACAGTCAAATTATTAAGTTCCCTATGTCTTCGAATAATGCGATCAAAATGTTAATTAAAACTGAATACAGCCATGATAAATATTTTGGTTCAGGAATATGGCAACAAAAGGAGATTCCAAGATCTATTTTAAGCTATGTATTCTCTTACCTATACACGGGTCTCTCAAGAGGTACTTTTTTTCTGCTCTTCCAAACAAAGTTTTATATGAGCAACGGAATCCTTTCAGGCGAGTGGTTGCATCAATGGAGAGTAAAACTCCAACATTTAGAGACTATATTAGCCTCCACCATCAGGGATAGATGATATCCATTCCTTCAGCAGAAGCCTGTCCTCAAGGGCCATTGCTTTGCTGCAGGTTCCTTTTTGATATCTAGCATATAAACTACTGAGTTCTAAGATTGAGTGTAAATCCTTCATCCCAGCCAAAGTTGCTGACATGAAACCTGATCTCAATTGCATTTTTATCATAAGAACCACATACCCTTTGACTCTGGTTAGTATTTTGTCACCTACAACTGGATGCAGTGATTCATCTTGATCTGGGTTCTGCTATGACGGACTTTTCTGGCTGAAACTATCGTTTAGTGTTGGACATGCTCTTATGAATTTTACTTAACAAAGCATCCTGTCTGACTGACATAAATGCTAGTCACTGATCACCTTAAAGGATTTTATTGCACTTCATACCACAAAAGCTTCATGTCATACAAAGTTTTATATCCCAAATTCAGTGAACCTACCAAACAGAGACTGTGACTTTAAAAAAACCTGAACTGGATGTGAAAACAACTATTACTGCAGAACATGTACATTTTTAACCATGATTGTTCCTCTTATGTTGGTACTGCAGAGAAGACTGATTTATATAAAAATCATCACCATGATGGGTATGACATAAAAAGCGAATTAATATGTTGTCACGCGTATTAGTGACTACAGACAGGGTTTGGATTGGTAATGGGATTTACTGACGACTCACAGGTCATAACTACAAACAAGTATAACCCTTCTCAGTTCATTTCCACTGGTCTTCACTATCCGTTTCCTGGCAATGGATATATAACATAGGAACTATAGAAGTCTCACTAAATCACGCACTCCCATTATCACTGTACTACAGTGAACATAAACTCTTCAAATTACATGTAAATCTTCACAGACTGACTTCTTGTACTCTTCTGTACTCCTGCCACTCCTCTTCTGTGATTGTTACCCAGCCAGTCCATTGGTGCACTGGCTGGACCTACAGAAAACACGTCATGTAATTGCTAAGCACTTCTGTGGTGACATCACCACACATGCGTAAGCTGCACGGACTCAAGGAAAACATTGCTCCAGTATTGTTGGCTGTGTGTGTGCTGCAGACATTGCCTAGCAATGAATTTACATGTCACAACATTCTCTGGGAATTAACTGACCACGCTGATTCAGTAATATACAAGGGTAAGTCAATAAGTAAGTTACAAATGGATATAGAACTGAAACAAATAAGAGTACTGATTTAAAAAATTTGTTTATTTCTCAACATAATCTCTCTGTACACTGAGGCACTTGTACAATCGTTTCAGAAGCCCCTAAAAACCAGCAGCATAAAATTCTTTGGGCTGCTGTTGAAACCAGGTGGTGACCTCCCTTTCTACAGCTTCATCGTCGGGAAAATGTTCAGCTGAAAGATGATGTTTAAGAGGCCCAAACAAATGGAAGTCACTTGGAGCAAGGTCGGGGCTATATGAAGGATGCTTGAGGACTTCCCACTTGAAATTTTGCAGCATTCAATTTGTCTTGTTGGCAGTATGGGGACGCACACTGTCATGCAAGAGCAACACGCCTTTGGTGAGCAGTCCTAGTAGCTTCCGTTGAATGGCCTTACGAAGTTTCCTGAGGATGTTACAGTAGGAGTCGGCATTTACAGTTTGTCCTTGAGGCTGGGATGAGGTGAGCAGTATGCCTTCATGATCCCAGAAGACTGTGAACATCACTTTCCTGGAGGATGGTGTCACCTTAAACTTTTTTGACAGACAACGCACGCTTTATCTCGGGCTGGTAATGGTGAAGCCAATATTCTTCACCTGTGACAATTCAGGCTATCATATTGTGTCCTTCATCGTGGTAGCAATTGAGATGCTGTAATGCCAGAGCCATTCTTTGCATTTTGTGTTGTGGGGTCAGCATGCGCGACAACCATCATGCACAGACTTTGTGAAAACCTAACCTGTCATGCATTATGAGGTAGGCCATGCTGTGTGAACAACCAATAGCAGTGGCTATAGTGTCTATAGTTACCCTTCTGTCTGCTCGGATTAAGTCTTCAACCTGTTGCACATTCGCCTCTGTGGCAATCTCCATTGGCCAGCCAATGTGGTGTGTGTCTTTGATATGTGTCCGCCCTTCAGAGAACTTCTGCACCCAATTCTAAACAGCTGGACGTGACAGGTACTTCTCACCATAGATGGGAAGCATTTCTTTATGAATATTCTTTGACTCCATTACCTTTTGCCCACAAAAATCGCACAACGGAGTGCTGCTCGATGGTTGTACACACACTCAGAGGCGCCGCCATCTTGCAACTGCTGCTCCACTTTTGTAAACATTGTTGTCTCGTGTCGAATGTCATCAATAGCCACCAGACTAATGCTGCCATCTAGTGGCGATAGCGTCAAGTGCCTCATTCAAACATGTAGTACCCCACATCAATTTGTAACTTACTTATTGTGACTAGACACAGGGATTGGATCAATAACTGGATTTACTGAAGGCTTATGACTTGTAACTACAAACCATTGTAATGCTACCACTAATCTACACACACTTTACAAATCACTACAGCACATACTAAGTCTCAGTCTGTATAGTCTTCACTGGTCATTGCTAGATAGCAGCTTCCAACAGTGGATATTCCTCTGCTTCCATGCTCACATCCTTATTGGCTGGTGACTGTCTCACAAGTCTACTGAGTCTGAGTCAAAGTCAAAGTCACATTGTGACTGACGGTCAGTCAGTCAGTAAGTCTTGGTGTCGAGCCCCAGATATTAATTATTACCGTTTGACAGTTACGGTCTTATTTCTGTGGGGCACCCTCTCTGACGAGAGGATGGGTCTGTCTTTTGTATGTGCTGCTGGCCCTTGCCAGTGCAGTCTTTCTCGGGTCCGAGTCCCTTGGGACTCACGACCATATTTTACTGTCTCAGATTTGAGACTTCCCTTTTTGTTGCCTCCGACTCGCAAGGTCACAGTGGAGGTATTCAACCCTGCCTCGACATGGGGTACTCTACTGAGTTGGTTGGCGTTCTCATTGTATAACCTTGGCATGGACCACATAGAAAACACTGCACCCAACAGTTCTTTCATTGAAGAAAGCAGTCTTCTGGGATTTGGCACCGTGTATATGTGGTGTTAACCGACGTTTCGGAGGAACGTCAGTTAACACCACATATACACGGTGCCAAATTCCAGAAGACTGCTTTCTTCATAGTCACCGCCGTGAAAGCCTCAAATCTTACATAGTTCTTACATTGTTGCATGGGTATCTGTTGCAGCAGGACCATGTTTACAGACAGCTGCCTAGCAATGGACAACTTTTCTTGTTAAACTGTTTCAACTTTCAGCCATCATGCCACAATATATTCACTAAACTCCACTGATTATCATCACCTTTTTGGAGAAAATACTTTACTTTTATGGACAAGATAGCAATAATTTCCACAATAAAGAATTTTTATAAACCTATATGTATTTCACAATCAAGTTTCTGATAAAACCTGGGGATAATAAATTATGTGATGAAATATAATTTGTCACCTCGCAGAGCAGACTGATCTTTCCCAGAGAGGCCACTATTAACCAGAGCCTGCTGAAGAATGTCTGCATCACTTGGCTGGTCAGGCATCTTGCTTTTGTCTCCTGCCACATCTGCTTGCAGTTCTGCCAACTGCGACAACACAGCTCGCACATTCACCATGTGGGATGTATCACTGGTATCTGATCCATCAATCTGCAAGTATAAAATGTTGTTAACATTGCAACCCACTTACTATACTGAGTTCCAGTTGCAGGAATCTTGCATTATCCACTTAATCTAGAGGTGGTCTTCTATAATTATGGATTCTGTAAGAATAATGATATAGAAAAGCATCAACAAGAAACTCATGAACTTTATGAGTAAGAAAACGTTTCATGGGATTCAATGGAGGGAGGAGGGGGATATGTTCTCATGTCTGAATCTTTATAAAAGAACTGGAGATTTGTTTGCAATGACTCTGAAGCACCTACAAACATTAAGCCAGATTTTTATTGTTTTGGTGATGACAGGGACCCAAAATATTTTTAGCAAACAGTCAAAGTGTTAAAGTACACATATGTATGTGTCAGCATTGGTAATACATGTATGCCCTAAAAGTTTGTGACTAAAGAAAATAGTTGCCTTGTGAGCCTGGTTGTAACAAGAAGTTTGTACACAGTGTGAAACTGTCATAAGCAAGGTATCTAGCAGTGTGTGAGAAAAACAAATTGTGCAAGAGGACATGAATCCTGCATGATTAATATTAAGAATAACACCGCTCTACCCTATAAAAAATACATTTTCTAGTCTGTTCTGATTTCATAGATAGCATAGCATAGTTGAGATTTACAGTTATAAGAGCGTCTTAAACAGAGTGAATGTCAATTACTTCTTCATTTGCTATGTTATTTCAAGCATAAAGGTATGATGGCTCTGACTAGCAGGACGATAATGAATTGTAAAGGATGAAGATCAAATGAATCTTAGCCTATTTTAGGGTTTCATTATGCTATCTGAATGTATGAGCTAAGAAAGACGATGTAAAACCTCAGTCAAGACAGCTGGACTCTGTACCGAGATCTCAATGTGGGTCTACTCAGACGTGAAGCAAGAGTTCTAATCATGACAGTGCATGGTTTGGTTTGAAAAGGTAAACAGATCCTGAAATATCAAGAAAGCATTTACCAGCATGGCAATGGGTGTCTGGAAGAAATAAAATGGGTATGGAAGGGAGAATTTATTGACAAAAAGCATGATATGACAGATATGACAAATTTTCTTGGGATGAAGTAGCCAGTTCAGAAATTTAGGAGTCATATAAGCTTCTTGCCTTCTGGGGATTTATACTGCAATGACTAAACACATGTTTATACTTTCCAATACCACAGCTATGAATTAGCCTTGTGTTTGTGCAAGAAATCACAAGATATTCATGCATGTTTATCATCTGTTATACAAAACAAAAAAGAGAAGTTGTGATATTTATAACTGGATCAAAACAATATGTTATACTATTATCATTGTTGTTGTTTATTAATTCTATTCTGATGTCAAGCAACTAAACTAGACTACCTTTCTGATACTATTCATTCTTTAGACTTTTCTGGCTAATCTGCCAACACACTAGCTTGCTGCACTTACGAGGGTTGTCCAGAAAGTAAATACTGCCAGGACATGTGCAATACTTGCTGACTCTACCCAGGACGTTTTTTTCCATTCTCCCTACAGGCTGGACCTGGCTCCAAGTCATTTTCACTTGTTCACACATTTGAAGCAGTTTTTGGGCAACATGCACATGGGTAGTGATGAAGAGAAGAAAACGTTTAAAGACTGGTCCAGTGGATTGGCAGAAGATTTCTACAGTGCATGCATACAGAAACTCATCACATGATACAACTATTGCCTGATCTTCATGGGGATTCTGCAGCAAAATTATTTAAGGTCTGTAGTAATGATGTAAAACAAATGTTTTCAATTTCATTCATTTTTTTCAATCAAACAGTCTTTACTTTCTAGAAAACTCTTGTAGTTTCACTTGCAGGTGTTTCAGTCACATTTACATGTCTAGTCACTGGCCAATAAAGACTGTTTACTTTTGTATTTGTAATGCTAATGTTACTGTTAGAAAATCTGTTAGTCATGCTTCCTTTAAGTCTTCTTGTTTATCTCTTCTTTCTGCACATTTCATTTTTATGGTAAGTTACAAACAGAAACAAGTATTCAAAACCAGACTACTTTATGCTGAATACAACATTAAACCTGTAAGACTGAACCTATTTAATGGTGTGAATGATAGTACTACTAACTAATAAACAGGCTACACCCAGCAACCAGTCACAGTAACATACAGTAAGACCTCACTAATTTGGGCACATTGGAAGTGAACCCTTGTACAAATTAGTTAAAGCCCGAATTATATAAGTGATACTGAAAATATGTTCAAAGAAGTTACAAAATGGACTTCATATGACTTTCTAAGCAACAGAAATTTATTCTGAAACTTAGATTATGTATCAAAAAGCAAGTTTACGTGTCATAAAATGTAAAATGTAAGTTTTGACATCATTCTTAAAAACATTTTAGGTAGCCTACATACATAGTATTACTGAGACCAGGTGTAAGAATAAACATATGCTGGTTTGTGTTCCTCTTTTATATCTTTCTAGTGCTTCACATGGCATTTTGTGATCATAACACACAAAAAAAAAGTTGTCCAAATTATCACAAATTCCTAATTGGTGAAGTTTCACTGTAATTACAAATTTGTTTAATTTTTATGCTGTCTTACAAATAGCACAAAATCCACAAAATCAGATTATGTTATTTTATACACAATATTGAACTTGTTTAATAACAGAAATGGCAATACTGCTAATAGCCAATTATCAACTTTCCCTCAACAAACGCACTATGTCCTCCAACCAATCACAATAATATAACCATATGCTACACAATTATGCTAAGGAGGGACTGCTAAAACAGTATTTTCAAAGAAGAAAATGCAGAAAATTTAAAATGACTACTTTAAAAATTTTAAGCACCATAGCAACCTGGTGCCTGATATTTGTTAAGTCCTGATTTAAGACCAGAACCTGTATATTCTGAATTCTTAAGGAAGAGATTCATGGAGTGGTCAGCTTCAGAATCCTTACACACAATGTTACTCTCTCAAATGTAGTCTTACCTTCTGTGTGCCATCACCACAATGCATTCGACTCATATGTGCATTAAGGCTTCCCAATTTTTTAAACACACATGGGCACTCCATGCATTTATAGACCTGTTCTCCTGAGTTTGGGATTGTATGAACTCGTACAATGTGAGCACGGAGATTACCTGGAAGAGAAGTTATCACAGGTCGTCAAATATTAGACTGATGAGGATGCTGATATTTAAGTGAAGATCATGGTGTCACCAGAAAAATTCTTGAATACAAAACTGAATTAAGAATGCAGACAGACAGTGAAGACAAATAATTCTGTCACATCACACTCTAAAAAAGTGCTAATGCTATCTCACTCTGCGTCTGTTGTGGCTGTCATCATGGAAACCTGGGTTACACGTTTAATGTAATTTTAGTTTTACAAATGGCACATAAACTCACCATGACCTGTAATGATAACTTTGATTATACATTTATTTAATTTAATCTTAATTCAGAAGATAGCAGGACATCTGGCTACACTGTGTTAAAGTCAGCAATGACAAGAGAATTCATCACATTGTACTCCCAACAGCAACTAGGTAAGCAAGGTTATGGCAAATGAAGGATAATAAAGTTACATTTGAAGCCAATGACATTATGGCTGGAAAGCTAAGTTTAGGTTAGTTATTTTATGATGCTGAGATTGTATACAGCTGAATGAGATTTGATCAGATGATTGTTAAAATGGTGAAGTGTGGCAAAAAGGAACTGTCTTAAAATAGGTGGCAGCAAGCTTCTCTTTATGGAAACCATGAATATGATTTTGAAATAAATCAGAGAGCAATCAAGTGATTATGGCTATTAAAGGAGTTGGAGGTGAAATGAGTACAACAGTTTTGAGATGTTAAAAGGATGAATACAAAGAGAATAAGTGAAAGGAAAAAGATTCCAAACTATGATCCAGATCAATATTGTCACATGTACTGAATGTAGGGGGAAGGTGAACCACACCCACACATGTATATGTACATCACAGCCAACTGTTTCAGACTTCCTTCTTCTTGTAGCTTCCAGAAACTGGGTGTGCCTTGTCTCTTGATACTGTACCATAGTATTCCAGAAATGTAGCCTGTATAAAATTGTAGTCAGGAGACAAGGAGAGGCAGTATGGTTAAGTCTGCACTTGCAGAAAAGTGCAGCATTTTCATGTGGTGAAACAGTATGTGCTCTGAAAAGCAAGTAGTGAGTTCCATACTGTCAGAAGCAAGTTAGTGAATATAAGAACAGGGTAGTGCAATAGCGTACAACTGTAACAGTAGTAAACTAAAACAAAATGATGAAAAGATTATGACAAACTGTAAATAACTGCTACAGAATAAGAAAAACGTTACAATATGAACTACCCAACTAATTTACAGCACTAAAAGTAGAGAAGGATGGATTAAGAAAAAGATGACATAAACTCTCAGAGTTTCTGACAACAGTGTATAGCAATCTTCGCGACTGATATTTGGGACACTGTCCACTGTTTCAGTCTTCTTCAAACCATAATGCTTTGGAAATGGGTTCTGTTTCCTTCTTTGGATGACAAGATAAAGCAAGGAACCTTACTCTGTCGGGTTCACTCTCATGAGATCAACACTGCCAAGGGACAAAGAAGAGTGGGATTCCTTACTTTATTCTCTTGCCTGAAGATGGACACAGGACCACTTTCTGTTAGGTGCCAGCTCCCCAATGTGGTGGCTTGTGTTTGATCCCATGTCAGGTCATGTGGGATTTGTGGCAAATTAGCAGGCACTGGGGCAGGTTTTCTCTGAGTACTTTGGTTTACCTACCACTCACTCAACCAAGTGTACTATATTCATTAATCATCATATCTTACTAGGATAGTCTCGACATTGACCATGTCATTAAATAACCAAATAAAAAATGTAGAACGCTGTGGTTTGATGTGAAGAAAGTTTTGGGGAAATGGTCAAAATATTAGTCAAAAAGAAAAACATGTGTTCTGGCCTTTGACTCTTCACTTAGCTGAAATAATTTAGGAAGGAAAAATGAAGAAGCATGAAGAAGATAATCCAGAAAGGATAAGGATGAGAACCGGATGAATATGGTATTAGATGTGTTTTTAACTAATTTGATTAAGTGCATTAAAATTAATGGAAGTGGGGGAATCATTACCTGTAATTTGGAACACAGTGAGAAACTTTCTGAGTCAAAGGGCCAATAAGGTTTTGCTTCAACTGGAAAAATGAACTTAATTCTCAAGGGAACAAAGCAGAATGCATCTCCAATCCACCATGCAGGAAAATTATATATATTCTGTCACATTTCAACCATGTCCCAATATATAACTATTAATCTGAAATTTCTATCTATTACATTGTAATTGAGTATGTGTTCTTACCTTTCTGACTGAAAGCAGCAGCACAAAATTCACAGTGAAATGGTTTAATACCATTGTGTTTGGACATATGAATTTGTAGAGAGCCTTTCTGGTTGAAAGCTCTTGAGCATAACTGGCACTAAACAAATAACACAGAAAACACACAATAGCTATTTACATTTTTCAAATTAGATATTAAAAGAAAACAGAAACACAATGTTTTGACATAGATATTGGGTGTGTTTATAAAAGGAAAGGAGTACAACAGATAACATTTCCTTTTCTTGAAGTATGGACTGATGATGAGATGGTTCACAGGTTATTTTATGTGATGTTTCAGCTGAAGAGGTTGTTTAATGTTGAATGAAAAGAAGGTGATCATGAACAGTGATACAGAAAAGAAGGGAAGGGGGGCAGCTGTGATATGGGGTTCTGTCAGAATGCTCTGCATCCATACTTCAGGACGAATAATACTGTGAGATTTATTATTCTAATTATATGAGATGTTTCAGAAAGACTTAACCAGTTACAAATGTCATATCTTACTTGCTTACTTAATTACTTTTGGAGCTGAGCCCTTCTTGAGGAGAAGCCAAATCTGCAGCTACTCAAGAATTTCCCAGCATTTTATGGAACCCGAAGGTTTATTACCGTGTTCACAAGAGCCCCACTGGTCCCTATCCTCAGCCAGATCAATCCAATCCATGTCATCCCATCCTATCTATCTAAAATCCAGTCTAATATTGTCCACCCACCTACACCTTGGTCTTCCCAGTGGTCTCTTTCCTTCTGGCTTTTCCACCAATATCCTATATGCATTCCTTTTCTCCCCCATTCGTGCAACATGCCCTGCCCACCTCATCCACCTTGACCTCATCATTCTAATTATACTTGGAGAAGAGTACAAGTTATCAAGCTCCTCATTGTGCAGTATTCTCCAACCTCCTGTCACTTCATCCCTCTTCGGTCCAAATATTCTCCTCAACACCCTGTTCTCAAACACCATCAGTCTTATCTTCCTCCCTTAATGTCAGAGACCAAGTTTCACACCCATACAGAACCACGGGCAAAATTATAGTTTTGTATATGCTAATTTTTATGTTTTTGGACAGCAGACGCAAAGACAAAAGGTTCTGCACTTAAAGGTAGCAAGCATGACCCGAGTTCAATTTCCTCCTCAACCAGGTTTTGATTTGTTATCGTTATGTCATGATTTTGCCCTGCATTTTGGTCACAAAACAGCAACATATGCTTAGTTTTCTCCGTGTTCACTTCTAGACCAACCTCCTTACTTATGTCAATGAAAGTTTGTGTGTTTTTCTTTACAGTATCTACATTATCAGCTAGTAGATTCACATCATCGGCATAGATCTACAGCTGATGTGTCCCATTTAATTTCAGTCCCACCTGGTTTTCCTGGACCTTCCCAATGGCATATTCTAAAGCAAAGTTTTAAAGTAGTGGCGATAAAGCCATCTCCTTGTTTTAGATCATTCCGGTTAGGAAAATTATCAGACAAATGTTTACCTATACAGACTTTACTATAAGTTTTGTTTAACCTAATTTTAATTAGCTTAACTAGTTTCTTGGGTATCCCAAACTCTATCAGAATACTGTACAATACTTCCCTCCTAACTGAATCATAGGCTTTCTTGAAGTCTACAAATAGTTGATGTACTGTCTCATTGTACTCCCATTTTTTCTCCAATATCTGACGAATGCAAAAAGCTGATCAGTAGTTGATATGTTATGTCAAAACCCACACTGATGATCCCCAATAATTTCTTCCATATATGGACTTAACCTTGAGAAAAGAATACTGGATAAAATTTTGTATGACACTGAGAGCAGTGATACCCCCCAATAATTACTACAGTCAGTTTTATCACCCTTCTTGTGAACTTGTACAATAATAGATTCCTTCCACTGATCAGATAATTTTTCCTTATGCCCCATAGAAGTAATCAGCTTATGGATTTTAGAACAATATTTCACCTCCTCCTTGAATTAGTTCTGCCGGAATTTGACCATTACCTGGTGATTTACACCTTTTCAATCTTGCAAGAGCAATTTCAACCTCAAAAGGGCTAGGATCAGGTATTAACGGTTCAGCTGTGCGAGTTTCTATATGCCTAACATCACTGACCCTATGTACATTCAATAACTGAGAGAAGTAGTTCCTTCACCTTTTCAAAATGTTGTGGGAATCTGCAAGCAGATCACCATTCTCGTCCTTCACTAAGTTACTTCTAGGTTGGTAACCCCTATCAAAGTCATTTATTCCTTCTATACAGGTCTCTAATGTTCTTGTTCTTACTGTTCATTGAAATCTCATCAATTTTGTTTTTCAGATATTCCCTCCTTTTACTCCTGAAATGCCTGCTGGTTTCGTGTCTTATATTGTTCAGATTATCCATATTTATTTTGCTTGGATCCTGTAACCATTGCAATTTGGCTTGTTTTCTTTGGTCTAGTAATTCTGAACATTCTTCATTGAACCATGGCTTATGCTTCTTCAGTTCATAATAACCTAGACTCTCTTTGGCAGACATTTTTATATTCTCTCTAATAGTTGCTGTTGTGATCGCTGATTGGTTAGCCCTTGGATAGTTGGTTCACGGGCCGTGGTGTATTAATATCGCTGTTTCTGCCATATGCCCTGGGAGTAAGAATTGTCTGGTTGACCTAAGGAGTTTGAGCTGTCTGTGTGACCGAAGGAGTAGGAGTTGTCTTTTGGACTGTGGGAGGTTCCCACAAAATATTTGTAACTTGTCATGCCTTTTTGGAAACTATGTAATGCTACCAGTTTTATTCCAAATGACTCTTTATATATCTTGGAGTAATAATCCATACCACCTAATTTTATTATTGATAACATTTATTATATTGCTGTCAACACAACACTATTTCCAGCAGGTTGAGTTTACTGTCTAGGACACCTAATTTTAATTTTCTTGCAACCCCAGTCAGAGAAACTGTAACATTTGGTTTCATTAAAATATCGTTCCTGTATTTTAATTCAAATGAAAATGTACAACTCATTAAATGGAGTCAATATGTAAATTGAACACTAACTCCCTCCTCATATACTACTGAAGCCTGAGAAGTTGGTTAACTCTCTGACATATGTCACTAGGACACAGGAAGAAATATCAAAAACACTAAAGTGAGGAACAAGAATTTACACAGGGATGTTTTTGAGAGTTTAAGCTCAGAAAAGGTTAACAATGCCTGGCCAAACATACTGACCCCAAGACAGAAATTTCCATAGACAGAGTTCCATGGAAAAGAAAATCTGGGAAAGACCGAAGAAAAGAACAAACACATTTATTTCAGTCTTTCTTCAATATGACGTAAACTTCTTATTGAAAAAGCACATAGTTTGTATAAAAATTTCAGTGTTATACTATATAGAATTCTCATCTGGTCCATTCTTTCTGACACAAAATATAACAGAGTATAAGATAAAATAGTGAGAAATTCAGATCACAGTACCTTATATGGCCTTTCACCTGTGTGAATCCTCTTATGTCGGACCAATTGGCTTGGTTTCTGGAAGCATTTGTCGCAGGTATCACATTTATGGATGAAAGTGCTTCGATCTATGTTACGTTTATGGCTTTTGTGTGACAGCGAAGCTTTTACCTGAAATAAAATAACAACCACTATTTATTATATATAATATCTATTACTGCATGTCATAGCTGAGTGACTCGTACTCCCACTTCATATGTGGAAGTTTAAAATCTTGAGCTGGGCACAATTATCCTGACTGAGATATTCTGTGATTTTTCTGAGTTCCTCCAGGCAAATGGCAGAAAAGTACCTCAAATTAGGCCATGGATCCTTTTCAATTCATTATTCATTCTATCATTTGATGCTATATAATCAGAGTTACTGGTCAAGTTGTTAAATATGTCATAAATACGTAAGTAAAAATAAATACAGCATCTGACAACTGTATAATGATGGTTAGGTTGGATAACTTTCAAGATGTTGGAACTTATACTAATGAAATTAAGTTTAGAAACAAAATATTAAGTTGTACAGTAAATTTGTCTCAGCACATTTCACCTTACAATATGTGGTAAAATTTCTTCGTATAGGAATTGAAAGGCACCTGAACATTCTTCTCTTTAAATTAGGATTTCATTCAACATAGAATATGTTTTATAGACAAAATTATTGCATGGTACACATTTCACGTATGTATGATCCAAACTATAAGTTACAAACTAACCCCCACATATACACAAAGCATTATTACTGAGTAAAACATGTCCCCACTTTCTTCTTTCTTGCTTTCATTATCTCTTTGTTTCTGCCTCCCTTCCTCTCTTTCTTTTGTCAATAGTCCATTAAAGTATTGTGCTGTATTTGCAGGAACTGTTGAACCACAGAGGCCTTGGGGCATGCGGATTGTATCGGCGTGTTGCTAGGTGACAGCTCTGTGAACGCTTGGATTGCTCAACAGTAAGTAGGGGTCACATGACTTCTGCATTTCCGCAAGGGACATCACATACTCCCATCCAGCCTGTTGTTATGCAATGCTTGGTAAACACCCTTTCACGCTAGGCTGTAATGTCACACAACAGTGGTAGCTATCATATAACTGGTTTTCTATGGAGTCCATGCTGCGACTGTTGCTATGCAATCGCTCAGTAAACAGGTTCCAATAATATAGGCTGTTATCTGCATGGTCAGTGCAGAAGCTATACAATGACAGTTACAGATAGAACACATTTCACGATTTAGGAGTATCTGAGAGTGTTTAAGTGAGAGCCATGGGAAGCTCATTGTGTGACTGAAAGACTTTAATTATGTGTAATACTTGGGGTGATTTGAAGTGACAGTTTGTGTGTGGAGATCCACTGCTATGAGATGATTAGTGGAAGACAGAGAATCCTAGTGCGTGTGCAACGGTGAACTGGAAAGTGTGTAACCAAGCTGTTAATAAATTCAGTCATCTGAACTAGAACCCATCAGTTTGTCATGCGTACCCACCTACATGTGAGTTTTCTTGTTCACAGTTATGCTTAATTTTTTTATATTTGTGACAGGAATGCACTTCTTTGGATAATTCAAAGAAGTATAATGTGGATCAGACATGTGAACAGAAAACAATAAATATTGAAGCTGACTCCTCTGCTAAATTTTTGTTTATCTTTCCTATTTCTACATAAAACAGTTTCCATTTCTCAGATTTAATTTTACACTGGCTTATTGTTTATTTATGAAACCAGAAACATTTTCTAATATGAGGTGGCACTGGGAAGTTCCTGGACTGTTACTGTTTAACTGCCTTGGTGAAAGAAGATGAGAGGGGAGGCCAAGGTCACACTACTGAAAGCCTACTGCATCAGTGTGCCACATGACACCATCTGGTGAACACATGCTGTTTTTACATGAGTGCTTTTTCGACTTCTTATTTCATTTTGTCTGTGATGGATGGCAAAATCAAGCAATGTATCTGCATCGAGATTTATGTGAAGCTCTGCAAATTGGTTACCAAAACCCTTGAAATGCTTCATGAGGCTTTTGGAGAACATTCTCTAAGGCAGACAATGGTTTCTGAATGGCATTCACATTTCAAGGCCAGTCGAGTGTCAGCTAAAGACGACGAACGTTCAGGACGACCAAGCACTGGCAAAATGAAAAAAAAAAAAAAATGCTAAAAAATTTTGAGAATTTTCAGCCAGATATGAGATCCTGGTGGCATTGGAAAATCTGCTGGCCTTGAGGTACTGTTCTAAACCTGCATTTGACAGATGCTCAGTCTGAATCTCAGTTTGAACACCAGCTATCCTGACTGGTTTTTCCGTAGGTTTCCTCACTCCCTCCAGCAAATACCAGAATAGTACTTTGATTAGGTTATGACCATTTATCATTCATCTACCATCCCTACCATCTGACAGTAGAGTCTTGATCATCAAATAACCCATGACATTACAGTCAACAATAACTGCATGCATCACTAATTTTTTTTTTAGGAAATATTGTTTCCTTTATGAAACAAGAAGTTATTCTTCTTTGAACTGTAAGTTTTCATGGTGGTTTGTGGTTTAGTTAACAAAGCTGTTAGTAACACAGACCACATAGCATCAAATGGTAGGATATGTGGTGAATAATAAACTTGAAAGGATCTGGGAGTAAGCGGCCATGGCTTAATCAAAGTAGTATTCCAGCATTACATAATGATGAAACCATGTAAAATCTCAGTCAGGATTGATCGTGTCCAGGCTGATACTCAAATCAAACATTTCCCAAACACAAGTCAGAAACATCACTGCTTGATCCAAACTACACAGTGTGTATGTTTTTATTTAAGAGTAAATTATTTACAATATGATTTGATGATTGAGATATTGTTTTGATGAAATGTATTACTCCTGTACTATTCAGTGAAACAATGTTCTAAAATGTATTTAACTAAAGGCCCTAAATGCACAGTTTAAATGAAAGAATAAGTCATTTTTGTTACCTTCCAATTAATTCCATACAGATGTGAGATTTGGGGTTCTCATGGAAGTGAGCACCAATATTACTGTCTTCTGGAATATTATACTTGGTAGGTAAGTGCTAATGTTTCAGAGGAATCTGCTCCCACTATCATAATCATGGAGGCAGACAGCCTCCTCTGAAAGGTCTGTACCTACTTTCCAAGCTACATGGCACTGCATCCCAGAAGACAGTCATCTTCAGTGCCACATAGACTTACCCAGTTGTCTGAACAAAATGTGTCACTTTTATGAATCGGTCAAGTACACAAAAGATGAATAGGTCAAGTACACAAAAGGTACCTTATATGAGAGATTCATTTCATCACTGATCATGTAAATTACACAACCAAAATTTCTACCAAAATATTCCGGACAGAAAAGTACATGTATTATATGATGAAATACAGCACTTTTGTGCATAAAGTAAAATTAAAAATTCATAATTAAACCACGAGTCATATAAAATATTTTAACCTCTAAATGGATTACGTTCCATAAGCATGTCACAAAAAAAGAATTTCATTTACCTTATAATGTTCCTTCATATGCTCACGCAGTGCTGAAGCACGAGAGAATTGCCATTTGCACTGTCGACACTGTGGGGTAGAAGGTTTCACCCATTCATTTTGGTGCTCCTTTTTATGTTCTTCAAGTTGGGCCTGCAAGGCAATAAAGTTTGAACACAAGGTAGTCTTCTAAAAATCCTATTCATTTTGACATTAAAAAGATAAGTGCTGATAAACAAGAAGGTAAATATAAAAAGGAAGAATTGAAACCTAATAATAAAATCTTAATAGTGTGCATCCTGTTGTGTGTCATAAATAAGATATGCAGTCTACAAAACAATATTCTGTATTTAAAAACAAAGATGACACTACTGTATCAACATTTGCTTTTATTATGCTTTTACAGATGCAACACATTTCAGCCCTTATACCGGGTTATCAACATGTAGCAGTTGCAGAGTCTTACCACAAAAACAGAATTTTAACTTTCACTTTAGTTTCTAATTTTAATCTTTATATCTTTAATTTTAAATTTTATTGTCTAAGGACTTTCAGTTTTGAAAATTTTGACCAAAACTTAATACATGTATTTATGCAATTCAATAATTTCAAGACACAATAAGGATCCTTATTTGAATAATTAGATGATAATTAATTGCAATTCATCACCTCATACTGGAGCACTGTATACCTGATGATGATCCGGTATAAGGGTGAAAACATGTTGCATCTGTAAAGGCATAATAAAAGAAAATGTTGATACAGTAGCGTGTCTTCTTTGTCTTTAAATACAAAATATTGTTGTGCAGATGGCATACCTTATATACTAATAAGAAAATGGTTGTGAAGTTTACATAGGACTGTCAACTCACGATCAATTACTGATTGGGTAGCCTACAGTGGCATCATGTTAACAGTGTGGTCACACTTGACGTGAACATCACTAAGTCAGTCAGTCAGTCAGTCAGTCAGTCACTCACTCACTCACTCACTCACTCATGGAGCTGAGCCCTTCTTGAGAAGCTGTCATTTGTGCAGCTACTCAAGAACTTCCCAGCATTTTATGGACCCCGGAGGTTCATTACCATGTACACATAAGCCCACCACTGGTCCCTATCCTGAGCCAGATCAATGCAATCCAGACCATCCCATTCTATTGAACTGGATAAATAGTGTGATATAAAAATAGTAATAAAGTCTCACTTAATGCACAAGAAGTTTGAAATAATGTAAATTCCCCAAAATTCAGCAAGAATCATGTGTGTTTCAAAAGCTGTCTTGAATTATGGGAAAGAGGACTTCAGGAATGCATCCCTTGGATAAAATGTGACTGCACTGTACTAAGTTTCATGAAAATCCATTCAGTGGTTGAAATGTTATGTGATCTTATAAGACAATGTTTTCTTATAAAATATGGAATATATACTAACAAAATTGTAGTGCTTCTTCTGAATAGGAGAAACAGTGTACATACTATTGTGCTGAACTCATCACCACACTCAGAGCAGAACAGGCTCTCCTCCTTCTCATGCAGCATCACATGGGCCTTTAAACTTGCAATGCGAGAGAACTTCTTATTACACTCAGGACATCGTGGGTCATCTACATTATGAGTTGCCTTATGAAGAATCAAATTTGACTGAAATCAACAAACATAAGACTGAAAGAGTGCTAAATAATTTAACAATGCTTCTTAACTTATAGATTAGGAAGCATCACATGAGGTGGAAAAATGATTATGGTGAGTAGTTAAAAGTCTGTAAGAACCGACTCATGGATTATATCAAAGATACTCACCCACCAACTGCTTCAGGAGATTGAGGTTTATTTTGGGTTAATTTGACAAAATTTTGCCAACTACATTACAGCATGTAGACCTGTTGCTAGGCAATGACTGCAAAGGAAGCAACTACACAACAGCTGTTACTGAGTAAGGGCTTCGCAAACAACTGGAAATAGCAATGGAGAAATGGTGTTTTCTGTACAGGTTGTGTTAAGATGTTATACGTAGGACAGTTAGTGAGAGTCAGTTAGTTGAGAGTCGGCAGTTACAGCAATCAGTTAGTTGTGAGACAGTCGTCAGCCAGTAAGAATGTAAGTGCAGAAGCAGAGGGCACTGTTAGAATCCATCACCAGGCAACGACTGGTGAAGACATAGCAAATTGAGAAGACTTTATGTGTGCTGTGGTTACAGTGATCTTTGGAGTGTGTAACTGAGTGAGACTATCATAGTTATTTGTAGTTACATTCTGTAAGTGTTCAATAAGTCCAGTTACCAATCCAAACCCTGTATATAGTCAATCATGTGACAACTGATGTCAGAAGTGTGACTGATTGATCAATTGGATTGAATTGTTGAACTGAAGCCTACAGTCTACAAAAATGGAACAAATACTGGAATGCCTGCTGGCCTAAATGAATGCCATGTGAGAAAAGATAGACTTCAAAAAGAGACAGAAGTGGAACTGATTGATTTATTGGATTGAATTTGTGGACTGAAGACTGCAGTAGATGGCTGTATCAAATGAATGCCATGTGAGAAAAGATGGACTTCAGTCAAGAAAAGACAGATTCCAATCAAAAGGAGACGAAGGCTGACTATGATCAAATGAGAGCCGAAATGAAGGCTAGTCATGAAGAAATGAAAATCCAGTTGGCTTCCCTCACCTTCCGGATCAGTGCCGACCAACAAGAGATGATAGCCAAGATGGATGCCTGGACAGAAGAGGGGAAGGCCTGTTTCGAGAGTACAGAGTCAACTCCAGTGGAGATGGCAAACATAGTGGTGCACTCTGAAGTCCCTAATGAAGAGGTCGAAGTGGAAACTGTCGGAATAATGAATGACCGATATGGTGACTGGCATCTAGAAGTAGAGTGCCGCCGACAGCCAAAGAAACAGACTGAGGGTGATGGTGGATCCCAGAAGTTGGCCACTATCTGCAGATGGATGACCTGTCATGCCTTTCCTGCATGGCATAAGAAATGTGGTCATAAAGGACAGACAGTTGAGAAGAGACAAAGGAAAAAGCAGACCAAGGACTATGTTGTTTGAGAAGCCCCTAAAGGGTGTATGGTTGAGAAGAAATGACAGACACAGCTGAAATTCAACAACAGCATAAGGGACTGATGCCTGAAACAGCAGCTATGTCTGGGAAATAAGGAGACATTTTCTGAGGCTCTCAGACAAACCATTGTGCTGGATATCATGAAAAGACCAGTTGTGTCTTCCATGAGGATTCAAAAAATGAGTGTTAAGACATTGCGGGGGAGCCGATCACTGCCCAAGCAAAAGAAGAGACTATTAGAAGCTTAAGAGCCAGAGACGCAAAAGCGGGTCAGTGCAGCATTCTTTAGCTTCCATGGGATAAGGGAGCAGAAGACCCACCAGAATGCCTCTGTAACACCATGATACCGGACACCGCGCCCAACCTGGGCTTGTGATGTTGCTAATTGGACCATGGAGGACTGACGTGCGGCATGGTCCAATGAGTCATTGTAGCAGTTGTTTCAGGTGGATGGTAGGGTTTGGGTGTGTAGCAGACACCTTGAGACCATGATGGTGGTTCCATACTGGGGTGGGGAGTGTTCACATGGCATGGGTTGGGTCCACTGGTCAGCCTAAACATGTCGTTGACCTGTGACTGCTATGTTGCACTGCTTGGTGTGACCATTTGCAGCCCTTCATGACTTCATGTACCCTGTAAGGATGGGATATTCCAGCAGGATAATCCACTGTGTCATCAGGCCCAAGTTGTCCAGAATTCATTCAAGGAGCATTCTGGAGAGTTCTGACGAATGGTGTGGCCACCATGTTTGCCCAACATGAACCCAGTCAAGCATTTATGGGACGTGGAGGAGAGGACCACTCACACTCAAGATCCTGCACGTACAAATAACAGGGAGCTGTAGGTGGTTATCCAGATACCATGGCTCAAAATCCCTCCAGGGTTCTTGTGGAATCAATGCCATGTCCAGTTGCTGCACTTCACCGGGCTAGAGGGGGGTCCTACACAACACTAGACACCTATCCCATGACTTTTGGCACTTGAGTGTATATAAAGTTACAATGAGAGTACTATGTTGGTGACTAGATTAATGGTAAATACAGTTTCTTAAACAATTAGTCTGGTAACATTATTGTTGGACCTTGTATGTGCATTTATTTGGTGACAATTTTCTTACCTCCACATTGAATGATGATGGACACAAATTACAAAGAAATGGCTTGTCATCAGAATGGCACTTCACATGTCTCTTGCACTGTGATGATTTTGAAAACTCCTTAGCACAAATAGGGCACTTAAATGGACCCTGTAATGTTAAAAGATAAATCTAAGTATGTAAAATGTGACACTCATATGTGTCATGGTGGTCAGGGGTACTGTGGCAGAATACAGAGCAGTTCATAACAAAGGTTACAGCACTTCTGTCTGTGCTGTAGCTAGTGATATTCTAGCTGCAGTGTGGGTACAGATGTAGAGAATAAACACTTCTCAATGTGTAAAAAATTACATGAAACCTGTTACACTGCTAATTTAAAAAAAATCGTACAAACATGTGTTAACAACAGGAACTCTTGAAGCATTGGGAAAACAATATCATGGATACCTTTTTCTATAAAGTACATGAAGGAGAGAAAAACTGTGCATATTTTCAGCAGAACACTGCACCAACAAACTTCACTATAAGCCCACAGTGATCAGTGAATGAATACTCAGTGAGGGGCACTTGATTTCACATTCCTCATATATGACTGTGCCTTTACTTTTTTGGAAACTTGAAGCACAATTTCATGAAAATAAATCACACTATCTGTGACTCAGAAATTAAAATGTGGATGTTATCATAGAGACCAAAGAATAGCTTTATCTACTGTACAGAATACCTTATGGCACTGAGAATTATGTTTGGATACTGAATGACACTTCCTTCAACAGCCACCATACAATTATGGCAAGCAGCTTTTATGACTGAATTTAAACAATTCATGGATCTTCATTCAGTGTATATGCTAGGGTGCATGTACTTCCACATGACTAATATGTGGTATGGCACATTGCAATTGCAATGTCAATAAGAACGTTGCAGCCTTTGCAACACACTACTGTATATGTAGTAAAATTCATAATAATGGTAAAGATAACCTACTAAAAGCTATAGCAGTGCATACATTACATCACTGATAATCATTACATGATCTGCAGGTTGTATATTTTTGTAGTTGCCTGGAAATGACCACTGCAATTCATTTCCACTTGTGGCAACAGACACTTTTAATTTAAAGTACAATTCTTGACTAGGCACTGTTTGACCATTTGTTATGGGAACAGAAAGGAACTATCTGGCAAAGCGTCTGCCAGAAAATGCTTTTGTGGTCAGTATAATCCTTCACCATCGTTAATTTGTTTGTTTAAAAAACTGGCTTTTTCTGTAACTTCATTAATGTTACTGGTTGCATGATTGTTCTTCACTGTCATGATAATTAATTTCATTTATCTGCTCACAACAAGTTTCACTCTAAGATGGCTATCATCAGGTACACTAATTATAAGATGTAGGTTGATTCACTGTAATTTTCTCATGACAAGACAAGGTTTATTAATTATTTATAAAACTAAGGCTTAAATTAATTAAGTGAGTGGTGTTAATAGGTCACAAGATAGTGGCTAGACACAGGGTTCAGATTGATAATTGAATTTAGTGGAAACTGAATCATCTTATTTACAAGCAATTACACACTTTCGAAGTGTTCACTGTCAATCTGTTATATCACTTCTGGCCAATTCCTTACTGGCTTTGATACCATGGACTCCTTTGTTGGCTCTGATAATGTGCACTTTTCTGTTGACTTGCAGGGTCTCTGTACATTATTTCATAGCGGACTGAGGGGAAAACACTTCCCCCAACAGTTCCTCAACTGCTGTGCATGTATATGGCCATTGGAGGTTGGTCGTGGTGTGCAAACATTGCTGTCGGTAATTGGTGCCTGATGTCACCCAGCAATAGGCACCTCTGGAACATTTCTCTGGTCCTAATATCCGGACTTTTAGGCGTCATACGACATTGCTACCTCCTTAAGACTGCTTGCCCCAAGAATCATACAAGATAACTGTGATTTCCTCCACTCTGAGGGGGCTGCCCGGCTACACCTATGGCCACCCTGAGGAATGGTACCACAGTGCCATACTAATCCCAACACCTGGCCTTCCACTTTGGACACTGTCCAGCCATCATTCCTGGTAGAACCAGCTTTGCACTGCCAGCATCCAACCTTTCCTCATTTGGGTGGCTCATTCTGCCTGTCACAACCCTCTTGGGGGCATGCCTCCATTAGTGTTCTTTGACCATTGATGGTCTCCATTCATCCTAACAGGCACCTCCCTTGGGGTTTGACCTAACATTCTCACCCTGGGCACCCCAGCTCAATGGGTGGCCCTGGAACACATCTCTGCCAGCAGTCTCCCCTAGGATGACCAACACCCCCACACTGCCAACATGTGGGTTGCCCAGTCCTGCTGTGCTCAATCCATGGTGACTGTGGTCCCTTTGGCACTCTAATCCTTACCATACAGGTTACTGCATTTCCACTGCCTTGGCACACACTGCACATGTTTCAATTTCCACCACTTTCTGTCTTGAATGCAAATCACAAGGCTTATATATGCGAATTCCGTCCTTGTATCTTGCTGGAAAGCACCTTGTAGAGGTCGTGTATCCTCTGGTCAACAGGCACCAGGATGTCCTCCATGCACCTGCTGATAGTTTTTTAAGATTTGGCCCAAATAGTGTTTATCACGGCCTCCATCTTTTCTTGGCTAGTGTTTACTGAGGCCTTCAACTTTTCTTACCTGGCCTCCCCATTAGGTTCCCCCAAGTCACTTAGTGACTTCAAGACTCTCCATTAACTTTTAACACTTCTGAGACATTTCTAGTCCAGAATCCGTAATCTGCAATCCCACTTGTGATACCAGCTGTGATGTAACAGAAACCAGAAACAGGGTCTGGATGGACAATTGAATTTACAAACAATAACACAGTTTACAATTATTCAGTATCATTTCGTTATATCACTCTTTGTCGGCTCCTTACTGGTTTTGACTATGGGGTCTCTTCTGTGTGATCTAGTAATTTGCTGCTGGCTTTTGTCAGCACACTCATTCTTGGTCCCAGGCCCTGCATGACCCAACCTGCCTGCAACAGTTCTCTGACTGCTGTGTGCACAGGCAGCTGCTCTGTGATTGGTGCTGGATGATACCTAACATAGGACGTCTCTGCAACTTTTCTCTGAGTCCATAATTTCTACTTTTAGGTACTGTATCACAACAGGTGATATTTCTTGGAGTTTGAAAATCTGTTGTATGTCATTGTGTACATTTGGTTTTGAGGAACAGTTGTGTTTGTAATGTCTTGATTTTACCCCTTTACTTTTTTGGTTCATTAGGCATTCATAGTTCATGGATGAAGAGAGACTTCATTATGGTCTTGTGCTGAAATAATTATGTCACTTTTTGGATTGATCTACTCCTGACATGGAACTTTCAATTAAGCTAAGTACATCAAACAAACATAGGATCAGACTCACACATAGACCTATGTGTCTGGGTAATATTCTTTGTCATCCAGATTTTAATTAACCAGCAAGAAGAAACTATTTTGAAAAGACAAGAAGAATTCTAATCACTGGCATAAAATTAAATTAATTTTGTGCACAGTGGGTTAAGTCCTTTCTTTAGTACAATAGATTTGTCCATTATTTTCCTGTAATAACATGAGTTTACTGTGTAATATATTTTCCTGTAATAACATGAGTTTACTGTGTAATAAATGTTCTGGTAATTGGCTTATTTTATTGAAAGAGTTATATTGTGTAACAGTCAATGTCTTCAGCTATATGGTTTGGATCTCACTAGTCTGCTTCCTTAACCACATATTATTGTAGGCTTTGAGGATCTCACAGTGGTGGTCAGGAGTTCTTACAACCAATGTTTCAAAAGAAACGTTGCCTCCATTTTCAGGATAAAATAATAAGCCAAGCAAGAAATCAGCATGAAGGAGGTAGCAAGTACAGCCTATTATTACTTCACGGAACACATGAATGAAACATTCAATAAATATTAACTTAATAGTTTCATTCATACATTAAACTTTGTAGTGTCTGTGGCATTCTTCAATTGAAATTTTAACAATTACAGGTTATAGCCCAACCTAGGCCAGCTGAAATCAATTTTTGAGCACCACGGTGTTATATTATGCTTAATGACAGATCATTATGAACGACTGACAGAAAAGGACATAGAAGGAAGAGGTCTTATTTGAAGGTTTAAAGAAAACCAGAAGACCCTCAATCAGGACAGAACAACATTAGAACCTGGAGGACTCTTAACAACTACAATGCATCTATTCAAAGTGGTCCATTAGAATATCCTATATAAAACTTCCTAGCACATTTTCTGAAATTCTATTCAAGAATATACTGTTTGTTTGTTGTTTAGAGCCCTCATCTTATGATTCACCATATTGTAAATTGCTGACATTGCATAGTATAGAATGATTTTTGACTGACTAACCTCTATGGTCAGGGAATAGAAAAACTTATTCTGTGGTACAAGTGTTTCAATCTCCATTATAGTTATGTAAAAAGAAAAACAGTTTACTTGTCCAGGACTATTGTTATCCATACTGGAATTTATGCACACTGCATTCTAAACTAACTGACTGCTTTTTACAGTAAGTACCTTTCCAATGGGAGGATCCACTTCTGTATCTTCCCTCCTAGGTCGTCCAGGACCTCTTCTTGATGATGTACGCTGATGAACCTGATGATTTTGCTTACTAGCTGATTGGGAAGAAATGGCTGTGGGGAGATCAAATGTGAGACACCCACGCTTGGTGACTTCTCCATCCTCTGTTGGATCAGAAACTACATCTCCACTTCCTCCTTCACCACTAAGGTTTGTCAAATCAATGGTTGAAATATCAACTCCCAGGCCTGGTATAACTGAAATTTTGTTGGAATTCTTGTCTGCATTTTCTGCATCCAATATAATCTTTCCATCTCCATCTTCAACAAGGCCATCTGTACTTAATACTACTTGACTAGAACCCCCAGACAGAAGGGTCAACTGCTTGGAAAGAAAGAGATAAATGAGTGCAGTGGTCATAATGAGGATCTCTGTAATTTACACAACTCACTTAAAACACACTTCCATCCTGAAGCATGACACTATGTCTGAAATTGATTAATGAGGTTAGTAAGCTGTACTCTTAATTCTTACAGTATAACTTCATGTTACATGTACCCATAATTACATGGCCATAAGATGAGTTCAGATAGCTCAGTGAATACAGTGACTTGCTGCACGCTGGTTGGTTGGGATTCAAAACTCAGCAGGAGCAAGAATTTTTTTCTTGACTACCATGTTCACCCAGCCTCCAATTTAATGGGTACTGGGAGCTCTAACTGTGGAGATAAACAGCTAGAGCATAATAAGCTGACCATTGACCTCCACATAATGTGTGGAGCTTTACCTCTGTATCCCCTACATGCATGACTTAAGGCTTAGACATAACAGCCTAGCTTAGCTTCTTGGGTTCATCACTGACACTGGAAAATTTAAATCATACCAAAGGGCTTAATGGTCTCCAATGTTAGATTTATCAAATTTCATGAAAATCTGTCCACATGGAAGAGCCAAAGAGTGGCTATTGTGAGCATACCAACTATAGGATTGTTCTCATGTAGCTAATAATTATTCTTCTGCTGAAACAGCTGCCTGCTTTAACAGAACCTAAAATGAGCCTATCCTGGATGTTACATTTGAAACATTAAACATACAAACTCATACCTGACTAGTATCGAGATACACTGTGTTGCTGGCTAGATTTTTAAGAATTAAGTTATGAACTCCAGATCCTGAATCAAGTATTGAACCATCCTGAAGTAAATGCAGTGGAAGAGTCACATATGTTGTGCCACTATCATCCAGGGCTAAATCTGGGAGGAAAAAAGTCATATAAAAACAAGTATTTAACAATGCAATTATAACACTTGTACTGCCTAGTAGCAAATAATACCTTTACCTTAAATTATTCTTTTCCAATTCTACAACACTTCTGTGTTCTGATATTAAGCTATCTACATTAAATACACTCTCTTCATTCTCTCTCTAATGAAAGCTCTTTCCCTTATGTTTAAATTCATTACATAATGACCAGTGCCACCTTTCTGCATAGAATTATCAGAACAGTAGAGAATTGAGATCACCTGAAGAAGCAAGCATATTGGTTCCATCAGAAAACATAAGTCCAGAGTTATTAAGGGTAGTTTCTGTGGCAAGAGAGACAACCTGTGTATTTGACACATCACCCTTTCTACAGTTCACCTCATCCATGTTCTGAAACAGACAAAAATAGAAATAATTTATTGTTTGACAATTTTCTAGCTATAAGATTACATTTCTCTTCAGGCTGAAACAAACAACTTATAGTTGGTGAAAATGTAGAATTTCAGACACCTCCCAAATTATTACCTATTCACCAGTCATGACTATTTTTGATCTCTGCAATGCTCTGCAATTTCTTAAGCTGAAAGTTCCGTTACAGAACTTAAGCAAGAGTTAATCATGAGACAATGAATTCATTTGCTGGTGTGAGACAAAACATCAAGAGAAATTACTTTCAAGTATGACTACATGTAACCCTGCTTTATATGAGTACAGAATTTGAAATAAATGAGATACCTTGCAAAAGCAGTTACTGATGTAAGCACTGATTTCCCATAATATTATGCAAGCCATTCAATGCCAAGCCTACACACTTTAACAAAAACTGTCACATGACCATCTCTAATTCTAATAAAATTCTGCAAGTTTGTTGGGTTTCCTTAGGAAGTGATATATACATATAAAATTTTACCTTCCTGTATCCATCAATGGCACATAAAGAATTTTTAAATGTTAAGTTTGCCTTAAATCTCCCATTCACTCAAATGCTTGAAACTCTGGTTGCATTTATGACAGACAACTTGTTCTTATAGAAACTGAAATTTCTTAAGTAGGTTTTTCACTTGGTATTCTGCTCACAATGTCTTACAGGCAAATTGACATTTTGATGTTTGAGCTTAGTTTACATACAACCGTATGAGATTTATGCATGTTCTTCCAATAACACCTGGTGATAATTTCAATATATCTTTGGAAAGTATCATGTGGGTACATGAAAGCTATGAGAGGATATGATTATTTGCCTGTTAGCAGTCTGATTAAATATGGTAAGTCATATCGTGACCTGTACAGACATGTTGCAGGGCATCATGACTCATCCAGCTTTTCAGTTCATAGTTGAAACCAGTGTAGTTAAGTTTATTTCCTCACATGGCAAATGAAACAAATCAAATCTGTAGTGGTTTCATCAAGTGCAAAAATTAAAATTTACTTCTGCTAGGTTTAAAATGGCTGCAAGAGCTACAAATGTCAGAGAACCTGATGTTCTAAAATGGTGTAGTGATCCCATGAATGTCAGTCACAGTCCAAGTTCCAAGAAAAACATGAGACTTGTGTTGGACTGGATGATGGATAAAGAGGGTTGCTTGTATTCAGAAAAGATAGACAATCAGTGATAAATGTAGGAAAATAATTGCAAATTTATTAAACAGCTGTTTCTGGAAGCTCAGAACATCACATAACAAAGAGGAAGACCAGTAAGCTTCAAAACTGAGCAGAAACACATTGCTTTTTCATGAGAAAGACTCTGGGTCATTAGAAGAGGGGGGAAGTACATGTAAAAAGGTTCAAATTTTGACTGTTCCTTCAAAGACCTGATCAATAAAGAAGATCAAATGAAAGTTAATAGCCTCAAATTACATGGTTCACACTGCCAAGAAATTAGTGGTTGAGAAACTTTGTCAAGCCCAAATGTAAAATCAGGCAAAGTGCTTCATCCTGCAACAGCGAAAATGGTGAAACAGTTTTATGTATCATATGAAATTAGCTGGATCATGCTAGGGATAAAAGGTAATGTTTCTCTTAACTTAGAAGGCTAGAAGGTTCACCTTGAGAAACAACTGATATTATGTAACCTACGACAATTTTAATTTCAATAAGAAAGAGAAACATGAGAAGTTGCTAGAATTTTCTAAGTTCGCAGTTATGATCAACTATGTGCTGATTGGCATAAGTGGCATGCATAGTTTGTTAATGTACCATTTACTAGAATGAGAAACTTATGTTTCCAGATGCAAAATTGTATGATATGAATGAAAGCAAGTAAACCATATTTCTGTCAAAAATTGCTTGTATGTGACAAGTGTGTGCGTCTCCATGGGGACTGTGAGAACTGTGGGGACTGAGAATCTATTCAGAAATACTGAACAGAGATTTGAAGACAATACCACAGACAATATAACCTACAGAATGCAGATTCTGCCTATCAACCCTGGAAACAACCATGCAATCTTGCAGGGACTTTCTCAAGTTTTTTGCTGAAGAGCTAAGCATCCTACTTCATCACTATTTTATACCATGACAGCAATCATGCTTTATAAAGAAATGAAGTTGAAAACTTAAAACTAATGAAACTGTTGCAATTTCTCTGAAAACTACTCCAAGTACAAGTCATTCACTGCAACAATGGTCAGGGAACTCTTCATACATTTGTGGTTTATTATTAAAAAAAATACAATGACAGAACATATAAATTTTGTTGTGACATCAGACTCTTTTGGGGCATGCAATAGCGCAGTTGGTTGAGACACTATGCTACAAATCAGAAGGTGGCAGGTTTGATTCCTGATGAGGTCAATGGATTTTTTAATTGACCTAATCCTTCCAGTCACATTATGGACCTGGGGTTGACTCAGCCTCTAACAGAAATGAGTACCAAGAACCTCCCTGGGGGTTAAGGATGGCCACTGCATAAGGCTGATAACCTCACTGCCATCTCTGAGCCGACGGTCTACAAACTGTGAGGATCTTGACGTCCCACAACAATATGGGCCTCCATGGCCTGTTACAGGGATAGCTTCACCTTTTTACATCAGAATGATTAAACATGGCACAGTTCTTGCACATAAATTATGCAGCTTTCATTTCCTTGCAGTATGAAAACAGAAAAAATTTCATCAACCTTTGGTATCATAAAGATGATTCTGTTATGGATGTCATGTGGCAGTCCTCTGCAAGTCACATGGCAAAGGTGCATGTGATGGAATTGAAGAAATGATTGAAAGGGTAGCAAGGAAGTACACCTGCAAGGTCAAGGGTATGAAGTGGAAGACTTCAGAGGATTTGTAAATTGTGAATATAACAGAAACTGGCAGTTTCCGTGTGTGTTACAAGTGAATGACACCAAAATTCAACTAACATTTTTACATCCATCTGGCCCTCTTTTATGTATCTTTCGCAGCCAGATATTTTGTGGATTCCAGCTCCAGAAGTGGATCCAGAAACTGCAATGTGTCGCATATTATCAGTGTAAAAAAAATCCTATTGCACCACTGAGAAACAAGAAACCAGGCTTCACACTGTGAATGTAGCTACTTCTAGGCAGTATTTCTTACTGATAAGAAAACTAACATTTTAATGAACATGCCTGCCAGATTTCTTTTCTTCTTCTTTTTGTCTTCTTTATTAATGTTGTACAGTATGTATATAAATTATCTGTACAACTTTACTCATGAATAAAAACTGCATGAGAAGACATGGACACACTGAGCATCATCTGTGTTAGAAACTCTCAAAGTTTGTTCTGTACAATACACACATTGAACATGGGCACCAATCTGTCACACATACAAAGTCCAAGCAATATTCAAGCTCTATCCATGTGCGCTGCAGCATGCCAATGTTGAGCATTGCAACAGTAGCTTGAATTCTGTTTTTCAAATCATTGATGCAGGTCACTGAAGTTTAGTAAACAGTCTTTTACAATAATCTCATAGGAAAAAAATTACAGGGAATCATATCCAGTGATCTGGCTGGCCAAGCTACAGAAGTAGCATGGCCGATCCACTGGTTTAGGAAATGCTTATTAAGAGATGCCTAAATGAGGCTCCAATGTGGTGTTGTGATGTCTTTCTGTATGAACATGGCACGCTGCAGTTCCTGTAACTGTGGACAGACAAAGTTTTCCAGCATATCCAATGGCTGGATGTCATAGTTGCTTCAGCAAAGGGAAAGGGTTGTCTCTATTGTGCTTCCCTATAGCATGAGGGTGTTCAGATCACCAGAGGAACACATTGTTTACTAAAAATGTATCAATGCTCTTGATGGTGGCACCTTGTAATAGTTTTGAAATGTCTTTGGACCTGTGTATCTGGCTTTGTTTTGACAAACCACATCATGAACTGTGCCCTCTACTAGTGGTTCATGGTGACTGAGCCGATGATTCAAACAGTGGAACAGAAATGAAGCTGCTATTGCAACAGTTCATACTGACATCATGCAATGTATGGAGAGTGCATTAATATTGCTTTGGCACTGTACCCGTGACAACTGGTGCCCATGTTGAATGTGTGTACTATTCAGAACAAACTTTGAATTTTCTCTCACAGATGATACACAAACAGTATGCTTATGTCTTTTCATACAGTTTCTATTCATGAGTAAAGCTGTAAAGATAATTTATATACACCCTATGTAGTAATCCAAATGGCCAACAACAATATGTATGTTACCTGTGGTTATGAACAAATGCATATCTGATCAACCCATTCTCATCCTAATATGAAATTTCCTAAAAATGCATTTTAAAAAATCATTGACTGAATTGAAAAATTTGCATAAATCTGTTTTTTCTTTCATAAATTAGGGTCAAGATGTTAATGTGTCCTAAGTATTATGAGTGCTACATAAAATGCATCCCCACTTAACAGCTTTCAATGGGTACAGGACTGAGCTCTCTGCCTTTATTACACCTGAGATATAACAATATTAGAGAAGCAGGGTGTAAAAAAGTTAAGGAAAACTTAAAAATCCAATAATTTTGATATCGACATGGAAAGGAAAAACTTCATACTTATCAGACTCTGTAGACTTACAAAATGTCACTGAAATGTAAAGTGGTCACATCAGTTGCTGTGCTGATATGACATGCAATGATCTGCACCTCATGGATGACATTTTGGCTCTGACACTTCTGTCCTATCACCCCTCAAATAAGAGCAAGTAAAAATTAATGGCAATTTCAGTTTACTTCAGAAGTGATGCTGGAATCACAGAAAGAAAATGGATATATAGAATCCAAACTCTTCTTTAATTCCAACTAGTTGGTCTTCATTGCCTTTTCAGTGATGATAATACTGTGATATGTTTAGTTAGCTTCTTTGGTAGAATGTTCCTAGGAACAACCTCTAATCCACTTTTGTAGTCAGAGGTTGTAAAAACTTGTGAAATGTATCAAAGAATGAGAGTTCAGAAAGAGGACAACTGTTTTAAGCCCATGGAAAGTTTTTACAAATGGAATGGTGGAATGATTCTATAGAGTGGATGCATAAAGGTGAAAGGCAAAGTTGTCCCTGTGCTTAATTAATTAAGCACTAAGCTATGAAGGCATATAGGGGGAGTGGAGGTACAGATTCACATTTTCTTGACCTCGGCAATAGTTCGAGGTGAGTGGTCAGCTTCATGCCACAGCCGCTTTACCCCCTGGGGAGAGCCCTCGGTACCATTGGATAGGAAGCCAGGGGGGCCTCAGAGCCGGTGTGGATAACATGGAGATGAGAAAATTTTTGACCCTACCAGGACGTGAACTCCAACCCCTTGGTCGACCAGCCCGTAGCCAGTAGCTATACCGACTATGCTATCTCGGCTCAGAGTGGATGTGTTAATTTGCTTATTTAATTTGATGTTCTCCTGGCATTTACATGGAGGGACTGCAGAAAATGGTAAGAAATGCCAGGATAGCTGGCATCCTGGGTAAGAGTTGAATTGGTCACCTTGTAAACATAAAGCAGAAGCATTACCATTTGGGCCAGCTTACTCAGTACGAGCATTCCTGATCATCAACCGCAACAAATTGAGGTTAATGAGCAGATCAGTGTACACAGTACAATCAAAGAATCAGCACTGATGAAATGAGCATCAGTTATCACTGTGTCTGTAAACTCATTCAAGATGAGCTGGGATACTGCAAAATCTGCATGAGGTTGGTCAAAAACCTACAAATACAATGGAAGAACGCATCCTCTTCAATCGCCAAAGCATAAATCTCAGCCTCTGCATGAAATATCCCCATGGTTTGTTGCAATTCTAGTAGTCCTGCACTTGTTCATTTTCAAGATTAAGGTATAACAGTCGTTAGCCATCAATGGTGACATGCTGTACAAAAGACTGAAGCTGGATATTTGGTCAAAATGACAATGACTGCTTTCAAAAAGCATTCTTCTGCTCCACAATAATTCTCACTGTCGTGTGGCTGCTCACTTGCCAAAACCACTGACAATTTGACATTAAAGTCCTCCAACATCCACTGTAAAATCCCAACTTAAAGCCATTCAGATTTTATGTTACAGAACTGCTGAAAGAAGCATCACAAGGCCAGAATTTCTTTGGCAATGATGTAGTGAATGGTGCATTGCAATAATGGCACACAATCCAACCAAAAACTTATTTTGATCAAATCAAGAAGCTTCTGAACTGCTTCACCAAATGCAATGAAAAGCAGAGCAATTACACAAAAAAGTAAGATATTCCTGACCTCAAAGTGATTATTTTATTGAAACTTAACATAAAATTGCCTTTAATTCTTTACTCACCTTCATACTGTTTGATATGCAGTTGTTACTGTGGAATCTGGGTTCCTCTAGATTAGGTTTCGTTTCTGATCACTATTCAGATTAATTTGGATCATCTAATAATGCTTACATATGTATAAAGGTTAGGTGTTGTGTGAATGCTGTACTAGACTATCAGGTCACTTTGAACTGACAACACTTTTGTTACTTATTTCCATTTTATATATGCTGTATACTCTGTTATTCCTGTAGCTTGTTCTTCAATAGAAGGCATAAAAGTTGGTATATATCTCCAATCAGCAGCTTAAACTTGTCCACTTCTACAAAAAATCTGGTGTAAAAAACTGTAAAAGAAGCAGAATTTCAAGTTTGGTAGGATATTACAGGGATTTAAACCTAATTCAAGAGGCCTTTATTATTCTTTTACACAAAATCAAAGTACACAGTGTTTAGCACGAATGTGACCACCATATAATGTATGCAAGCCATGACAGCAGAACTGAGGCCATTTGGTGTAGTCATGGCAAGACATCTGCTATTCCTAAATGGAAGCATTTATCTGCCTAGTATAGATATGTTCCCATTCTATTTCGTTTGTGTTCCTTTGTTCCTAATTCTTACGTTGATTGTTGTTGAATACAATGCTCTCCTGTTATAAATGATAATGAAATTTACAAGAGTTCTGAATAAAGTCCTTAACTGCTATGAGGCAAAACCTCACTGTAAATTCTGTACCTACTTTTGTGGCTTGCATGCTGTATAAATTTAGGTTTTGTTTTACAATTTAAATACCGAACATAAACGGTTTTATCATTCAGTCCTAACCTATCACTAAATTTGGATTTTATTTGAGATTCATAGCTCCAACCCATGCCATATTTCAACATAACAAATAAAACTGGAGATCATACTGTAATGATATACTCTATTCAGTGTGTGTGTGTGTGTGGGGGGGGGCATATATTATTCTTCATATAAGATCAGCCTGAGGACATCCTTCTTATTAGTATCCAAACTATGGCCTCTAGTGTAAAATTAAACTTCAATAAATCTTGGAAATTTGTTGTTGCACATTTCATTTCTGTGAAGATCACAACTCTTTTGGCTGTAATTTCTGAATGAAAATTATGAAGTGCTTATTATATCCATCAAGTGTGCTCAATTTGTGGCACACTACGTAGCAAATCGAATCACTCAACTTTCCAAACGATGGCAACTCTCAGAACCACCAAGTGTCTCCAGATATCAGCTTCAAAGTTCTGGTTATATTTTCATCGTTTGCACTAACTAGACAGACTTCATTATGCTCAAGGAAGGTTTTATTAAGTAATGCTGTTGCAAACTGAAATGTTGGAAAGCAGGTGAAAAGGTTGCAACTTCTTCATCATAACATATATTTAACAAAACATATATACTAAATGTACGTATTTTTATTTCTAAATTATATTAAATTCATTAACTGTCATGGATATGTGAATCACAATAAATTTGACAACATGGTGATCTATGAGGTACATGCAAATCATCACTGTAAAAGGTGTATCCTATTGTGTGCGTGACCATGTTCTATACTACCTACGTCATACATCGTACGTGATATTGTGTACTTCTCACTGAGAAAATACGTATAGAGATATTTGTTTTTAAATTCTTGGTACGTTCGCACGACTTGGCATATTTTTCAACAAAATAACAAACAAAAACAATACATATATGACCATGCATGCATTTAACTATAATATATAACTTTTCAACATAATCATATTAATAAAATTACATGTACGAAATCAGCAATAACATGTTCAAGCAAAACCGCCAAACGTGCACGTCTTCGGATAACTTCATTCATATTTTATTCGACTCCCAAAGCCTACGGCCTACTTTACGGTATCATTCCGCCCTGAGAATAAACACATAGGACCCCTTTGTCGAAATACATACCTCAAAGACAGACACATAAATGCAGTTCAGACTTATTGAAGATTACTATAACATTTCTCTTTTATGCAAAATGGCTCGTTTTACGTATAAAATAACACAAATTCATCCTATTTATCGTTGACGTAGAATCACCAAAAACAACATGGCGGAACAAGAAAATCCTACCGATTTCCTGTCACACAACAGCACGATTCCGGCAGCGAAGTATAGATGGCAGACCAGCTGAACAGTCCTAGTATGCAACCTAACGGCGATAACTAGAAGTAAGTAACCTAAGAATTTAGTACAATGAAACACATAAAATGGCGTATTGTTTTGTATAGGTGAATTATATGTCTTATTTTGAGAGAGAACACGAGTATAAAAGAGCGCAGGAAAACATCTGAACCCTAGAAGTTTGAAGTGGGCAATTTAGAATATTATAAATACCGAACAGTACTCGTGCTACGTATTCAGGAAGTACTGTGTTCAAGTCTTAGCCCGGATGCTGACTATCCTGAACAAGTTTTCGTAATTTTACCCAACCCTTCGGGCAGATCCCTCAGTAGTACCTCAGATTAAGCTATAACAACTTCCTTCCACATCTTTTCAAATTAATTATTCTTTAGTCATTCTATCATTTTCCGCTATATGAAGTGGGTACCGAAAGTATTTCTACACAATATTCGGTGGTATATAGCACCTTTAAATACACTATATAGTGAATTTAGAAGTAGAATAAAATGAATGCAAATGAGTTTATAACGTATATCATTGAAAATAAAATAACATATACTGATTATATACTTGATTAAATCATAGAGTAACAATAACACAAATATGCAAATTTCATTGTGAAATAGGCTTTATTTGAATACTATTAATGGCCACTGAATATTTTCAAACACAATAGTGAGATATATTAAGTTTCATAACAAGATCTGTCCGATAGTTCCAATGAGAGTGTCCTTCAGTTGTGAATTACATTTCATCTATTTAACAACATCTCTACAAAGAATTGAGTGACCTTCAATGAAAAAGAATATTCCTCCTTTGCGGTATCAAGGTCACATCCATTGTGAGATATGAAAAGTAACTTTTATTTTTTTACAGTGCGGTATGATATTTAAAAGATAGGAGACACTGACACGGCTGAAAATGAATGTCGGTCAAAATTGTTATCAGAGTGTGATACATCTTACTAGACATGTACGAAAAGAAAAACAACAATAAGTGGTCAGAATATTATCGTGGACTTTGCTTTACAATTTATTAAAATAAGCATCTCATTACGTAAGGACTGAAAAATGTTCTGTACAAGGAATAACTCCAAGAAACAGATCTTTCTTCCATTAGGAAAATAGATAAATTTTCTGAGCCACACATGGATAAGCCCTTAGAGTCTTTAAAGAAGTTATATTTTCCGACGATAGAAAATTAAACATTTCTGCTCTGAAAAGTCTCAAATTAATTCAACGAAAAGATATCAACGAACTCAAAAAGGAAAAATCTTCATTTACGATTAAATATGGCGGCATTCAAGTGATGGTATGGGGGTGCGTATGATGGTATAGGAAACCTAGTATTTATTTGTGGCATAATAATAACAATTTGTGAGACAGTTTATATGAGAACGGGCTGAAGTGGCACTTCCACGAGTCTTCTCACTTCAGTGGGATAATAGCGCAAAGTATTGCCAAGACGACAAGCGAATGGCTGCAGTTTAATGTTGGTCATAGTTTTCAGGCTTCTCTGCAATCATCGGGCCTCAAATTAATAAAAAATTTATGATATGTGCTGGATAGAGAGGTGAGGCAATTGAATATATTAAGGAAAGGTAGCTTGACAAGTGCAGTGTCAACAGCATGGGCAAAAGAGGGAACAGAGACCATTCGCATTCAGGTAAGATCAATGTCAAGAAGCCTGAAATGCTTAATAGAACTTAGGGGTATGCGGACTATGTGTTAAATCTTTGGTATTGGATCTGTCACGAAGCAAATTTTGTTTTGATCATATTGTGCAACTGGCATCTTTGATCATAACACAAGCCGTTTTCGTTGCTATTTTTTTCTTTAATTTTCTGATCTCTTAACGACTGAATTACGTAGTTCCAAACAATATATACAAATTCATTTCGTACCTTACAGGGAATACATCACGTCTCCGCTACAAGATTAACCGGCTAATGCTGTTCAGGGAGATACACTTGTCGCGAGAACCACACGAAACAGAATTAAACTCCATGGGCAGGATGAAGAATTTAAGTGTGTTGAAGTATGTGGTACATATGGATCCATGGAGCTTTAGAAGTTTAAAAATTTTATTTCTGTTTAATATTTCTGTTCTTGGTAATACAATGCAATATAAAGATTTTCATTAATTTCTTTTGTGTAACTGAAGTTATTTATAAAAGACGGGGAGTGAAAATACGTTTTGCACCAGTCTCAATCTTAGTTATTGGAAGCATCGGTGAATACACCACAAAACAAACATAACAACTAACTTGTTAGTTTATACAGATCACGTAGTATTGTCAGAGTAGGCATGTAGCAGTCGGTCAGTTTATTCTGTGTTTGCTTCCTTACGACACCTTACAACGGGCTGATCCCCCATCCAAGGAGTCCTACCGACTGTCTAAACTTATGAAATTGAAGTGAAAGATCGTTTCACGGATGTCCTATGCTCCAAGTGGGAGCAACAAGAATGTAGGAGGAAGAAGAAGAAGAAGAAGTACCATAAGAGTATTACAACTAAACTTTCTTTCTTCCGATTATTAGAGCTCCAAAACCCGTTCGACATATCCAATATTATAATATCTGTCGAAGAAACCCCCTCTTTCACAAAACTCTGCAGTTCTTCATATTATGGTATGACCAGGGAAAGCGAACTTCTTCAGTGGTTGGTGCCAGATTAGGCTTACATCAGCCTGTACAGAGATGGGCAAAACGGATCATTACCGAGATCCAATTAATTCACTTCGGATTATCTTATTCACCCGTTCACTTCGATTACTTGCCCATGTTAGAGGATATGCTACATTGGGCATGACTGCAATTGTTGGACGATGTAGTGGTTAAAGGACCGGAGGGCTCACTAGGACTTGCAGCAAACAGAAAACCCTCCCATGCTTACCAGGAGTAGGGATAGCTCAGTCGGTGAAGAGACTAGTGTACGTGCTCGAAAACCGAGGATTCGGGATTCGATCTGCGGCAGAGGTAAGAGATTTTCCTTTCTCCATAATGTCCAGATCGGCTCTGTGGTTCACCCAACCTCCGACAATGTTTGATTTGAGGCTTCTATTTTCATCGCCTCCTACGACTCGCAGGGCTACGGTTGAGATTTTCGACACTGCCTCCACACACACGGTGACACATAGAGTCTGACGGACAAAGAAACATTCAAGGAGGACTGAAACGACCACAGGGACTTCAATAGAGCTATGTACTGGAAATGCAGGAGAACAACAGTAAAGGAGAAATCAAATGATATTGCCAATTTATCATTTCAACAGGTTCCATTATGGAAGATCAGCAGGTTGCTAGGAAAACATAAAACTGGTCCTCATCTCAACCAGGAATATTTCACACACGTTAAGACCACCGAAGTATGGCATAGTACTGAAGGGCTCTGGAGAGTAGAAAACTCTAAATGAATATGAAAAAGTGTATATAGGACAGACAAGTCGATCTATTGTGCAAAGTTGTGCGGCTGTGCCAGCCGGACAGGCCCCCAGTAGAAGAACGCAGCGCCGAATCGGACCACCGTATCAAGGTACCAGCTAGAACACTAGGCTACATGGGCCGACTTATTGAAACGGCAACAGATTAATATTTACAAAGAGGAAGGATTCCAATTCAGCAAAGCATGGAACCCGACCACCAATTATCCTATTATTAGGGCTTTCTGGCACAGGTGGCTTAGGCGACGTCCAGGGTGACAAACAGAAAAGGGGCATGTTCAGCTGCGGAAAGTAGAAATCAGTCGCTATATGAGGAGTCCAGATTAAGCGACATAGTGATTAGGTCTAGAGCTGGATGGGTGACCACAGAGTTTGATCCTAATCTCCTGTCGCCTAGTGCCTCAATAGGATGACGCATCATGTTGACACGTTAAAAACTAAACTCCGTGGCCTGTAGTCCGCAAGCGAACTATACTGACCGAGCGACCGCCTCTTGTCAACAAAGTTAGTGCCAACTTTAGCGGATAGAGGGTGCCGCGTGGTCAGCGCAACGAATCCCCACGGCCGTTAATTTCGGTTGTCTAGACCGGAGCCGCTATTTCCTTGAAGCAGCTCCTCACTTATCATCACGAGGCTCAGTGAACCCCGTTCCAGACCCACTTCTCAGAAAATCTGGTAGCGCCGGGACCTCTGGATCTGTAGCCAGGAACTCTGACCACTAGACCACAGAGGCGGTCACATTGACACGACACACACACACACACATATATATATATATATTCATACACACACACACACACAAATTTTAAGTCTTCACGTCTTCTGTCTACAAACATACAAATTAAAGTACACAAAACTATAATTTCTCCTGTAGTTTTGTGTGTGTTTAAAACTTGGCTTCTGAGACTTTAAGGGAAGAAGATAGAGCGATTGTGTTTGTGAAGGGAGTGTTGAGGAGATTATTTGGGCCAAAGAGGGATGAAGCGATGGAAAGTTTGAGGAAACTGCTTAACGCGTAGCTTCTTGTATAATATAATTAGAATTATCAAGTAATAGAGGATTATATAGGCAGGATGTGAGACACGCAAGATAAACACAGGTCTATCCGCGGCCATACCCCTCACCATCCTTGACGATGGAGACGGAGAAAGCCTCTGAAACGTGCATCCTTAACATAACATTAACATAACTCCTCCCGAAATAGATTTCAATGTATTCGTTCTTCATGAAATCTTCAAATCTTACATTTAGAATGATTTATTTGCTCACAAGTGAGATTTTTTTTCACATACCCTGAACATCAGAAAAGCAGTCTGTTACCCAGAGCCATTTGGACATGGCGACGAGTAAAACAGTCATTGTCCCTACCGGGAATCGATCTCGACAGTTCGGCACATGTACAGACCTACCTTGGATAAAAAAAAAAACTCCGTGACCTAGAGTCCGCAAACGAACTATACCGACCGAGCAACCTCCGCTAGTCAA